TCCTTGGTCCCCTCCTCTTTAACATCTATATGCTCCCTCTTGGTGACATCATCCGCAAACATGGGGTTAATTTCCACATGTATGCGGATGACACTCAACTCTACCTGACTCCACCCTTGACTCCAGGGCCACTGCTGTGCTGACAGAATGTCTGTCAGACATCAAGTCCTGGATGAGAGCCTCCCAAGATGTCCCAGTTCTGACGAAGGGTCGTGGACCCGAAACATTGACTCACTTTCCTTTCTCCATAGATGCTGCCTGGCCTGCTGAGTGTTCCCAGCTACTTCTATTTTTGTTTTCAGATTTCCAGCATCTGTAATATCTTGTGTACTGAGCTAAATAGCTACTCTTGTGTACAGTAGCTTGGAGGAAAAGCTGTTACAGTCGGTAAAAGGAATTTCAAAAGCATATGATCTAGTACACACGTAGCTTTAGAGTGTCAGGCAAAGGTAGATTTACTAAGATTGGTGGTCATTGATAAAGTTAAGTCCAGAAAATACAGCACTTTCAGACAAGGCAATACAAAGTGGCAGGTATCACTGAGATCAGGAACTTGCTGTGTGTGGAATCAGATCACAAGCCCGCATCCGACTATTTAGTCGCAAGGCATAAATGCCCCACTACCCTACCATTTTATGCTTTTCTTCCCTTTATTTCTTTGGATTGCTATTTCCACTGCAGGTGTTAGAACTTGTAAGTAATGACTCTGTTGCCCTGAGTATTAAAACATTTTGAGAACACACCCTTTGGGCAGTAACCAACACGTTTCATATGTCTGAATGCCTATCTTAAAGGATTTTTTTTATTAATGAGTGGAGGGGATTGCCTATTTTTAATTTAAAAAAGGATTATCAGTGGAATGCAATTTGTGGAATTGGTGGAAAGAGGAAACAACAATAAAGATTTAATTATCTTGACTATCATTTCCCCAATTAATTAAATGACAAGGCTCGGAAAGGGCCTCCTTGCCATCTGATCATTTACAAGTCGCAAGATCACAAGATTTGCTTGGATTAAGAGGGAATCCCATAGGCAGGGCTAACAGTGATGCATCTAAACTATACACTCTAATTCCAACTGCCTGCCAATGAATAGTATCACAGAGTAGATAGCAATGTCAGTGTCAAATGTAAGGTTCATGGATTTACAAATGGTTGTCATGGTTCTATTCTCAAAACAACTGGACCACATCGGTAATTATGCTTGCCTAAAAGGGTTACCAGATTGCATGAAAAGGTTCATCTGGGTCAGAATGGATGCCTATTGAGTAAGGCAAGCTCTTTATATTTCTTCAGTATGTGTAGGAGGAACAAAGGATAAATCAATTGAAAGACACCTGCGCAGATTAAAGGGTATGAATAATGCCTGGATCCACAATGTTACAGTGTGTTGCCTTTTCAAACTAAACATTGTTTCTTGAATAACTAGGTGGCAACCTATATCCATCATTGTGCAATTAGTGTAACATGTATCAAAAGGTGGTATTGCTTTTCTGCAAAATCTGCATGATAAATTGCCCATCCCCTCTCACAAGAGAAATACAAACAGAAGGAAAGTCAATAGACATCTTGGCAACCATCAATATTATCCTCTCATAATTTCAGGCAGGATGAAACTCGTTTCTTTGTGCTCAGCTGGATGTCGGACAAATTGAGAAACCCATGGCCACGCTTGAGCACCCGTAACAGACTGAGAGTTCTGCATGCTGCAGACGCCTCTACATAGAAACTTCCCTTTGTCTTCAATGGAACGCACAATTTCTCCCCGGAGCAACGCACTCTGTTTATCTACGTACAGAAAGTATTACACACAGGCTGGCAAGGTTCAAGGCTTGCGAACCATAGAATTTGCGTTGGAGTAATGAGTAAGGAGTAACGAGCAGTCGATTGGCAAGCTTGCAGCTATGTGTCCAACTAGAACCGTCCTACTCTTACACCTGCTTACATGTCTGCACACCAGCACAGAGTAAAGCAAAGCCATGTACGTGTGTTCACATCTGGTGGCAATAAGCACAGTAATCAATGATGTGTTACAGAGGGATTTCAAGTGCGTTGTATATAATATATTAGTGTTCTAGACACTATTTTACAGTACTGTATGATATGGCTCAAATTCCTCAGTGGTCTATTGAAAAATATAACCTAACTCGTCCTTTTGATGCTGCTGAGGCAGTAAGTACTGCACAACTGAATCAAATATTTAACAGAACAATGTTTTTAGGAATATTATTTTTACGTGGAACTCAATTTAGTTTTGTTGGCATGATGGTGGCAGCATCAAATTAATGTCACAACATCTCAATGTCAATACTCTTTCACATTTCACCATCACCCCAAGCCACACCAACATCCATTTTTTTTCCACATTTCTCACCTTCTGTCTTCTCCTCAAATCATTTGACCTATTTTTTCCATCCTGGGGTGCGCATTTCCACTATAGTCCTTGGTCATTATTCATATGTGAGTCTCGACAGTCAATATTGGTAGATCATGGGTAAGCTTGTGATTGAGTCTCCTTACCTGCCGTCTACACACATATTCAGCAGGGCCAAAACTTACCATCAATACCTCTGATCTCATCATCTTCTGCCCTCCACCTATTTTTTTCCTTTGTCTGTCTTTCCTCGCCCCCTTTTCTGTTTGTCCTCATACAATGCTCCTTTCCAACAGCCCCCAGTTCTGACGAAAGGTCATCGACCTGAAACATTAACTCACTCGCCTCTCTCCATAGATGCTACCTGACCTGCTGACTGTTCCCAGCGACTTCTGTTTTTAGATTCAGCAGAGTATGGATTGCAATGTGGAGAGGGAAGCTTTGGGCTCTGCAAGGGAGCCACTTGAGGGAGCTTTCCAACACTCTCTCTTTACTAATAATATTATCTAATATCTAATATTCTGAAGAGGCATGGTCTGATGCAGGAGAGACGAGCTTTCAGATCAGTCGAGTCATTTTCATTGTAATGAAATCGCTTGTAGTTGCAGTACGGCATCTTGTTTTATTAAGTGCTAAATCCCAGGCAAACTGCCACTAAACCATTGTAAACAAAGATGATGTCTCTTTAAATCGAGACATTGAGTTGGTGTGGTTGCATGCCTTAAATAATACTGTATGGTTTTATTGGATCTTAGCAGTCACAAAGATCAGCTGACATCTGTGTTTATTACAACAGCATGAAGCCAAAGTAAATGGCCAAGCTGTTGTTGGAAAAGTGGAGGCGATGATAGCACGAGGAAATGCTTAAACAAACCAGCACTGGGAGGCATACTTGGATTCCATTACATATGGACAGAGCGAGAAGCTCATGACAAAATTTGTCCTTAAATGTATGCACGCAATGAACAGCAATCATCCTGCTTGCACTATTTGCTTGTAGGATATTACACATGAGTTGATAACGTATCCTGTTTGACAATTTTGTGAGGCTGATCAGCAGATCGCACAGTCATTATCGTCTCACTCTTCCAGCAATTCAACATTTTTTTTAGTTTAAAACAAACAGCTTTCTGAACACCCACTATGTATCAGATGTATTATCTGACAGGAGCCAATGTGACAGGTTACACCTGTTTTCACAGGAGGTTATTTCATTTTCTAAGCGGCCAGATGACAATACCTCTTTTCACTTCAACGACAATACCTCTTTAACAAAGGCATTTTAAGCATCAGAACTGTCCTGTACTTTTTTTTAAATGGAAAGATAGATGTATCCTCCAATAGTCAGATTCTAGAGGCTTACAGGAACGAGACATTTAAAAGATAACTGAGTGCAGGGAACGCACAAACAGGAAAAAAAACAAGAAAAATGTAGAGGGGGCAAAAATAAAATATCGTCGGCTGGATGACGTATAGCAAGCATGAGTAAATAAATAGTTTCTTTTAAGATTTGCAAACGCATGTGCGTGGCAAATATCTGCAGACGTCAGTTGACCACTTAAATCTTATTTTAACTATCTGTGACGTGTATAACTAAACAAACTGCAGCATTAGGAGATATTAAAAGAGCCCCAGTCAAACCAGACCGTGTAAGAGCCGGGGACTTTGCATGTGCACGTGTCAAGATGGCAGTTTATCAGGGAAAAGAACGAATCTAATTCTTTCATAATGTTTTTATCAGTTTGTTTGGATAAATACACAGTTGCGTATGTTTATGTAAATAAAGATAAACCGATATGCCGTGTGGCTGAAGAGCTGCAGCATATCCAGTGCACACACACACACATAAACAGATAGCTGTGTGTGGAGGATGATAATGGTAGAAGCTGGCAAGATAGCAACTGAAATCAAGGAATGGATTGCCTAAACTCAAGTTAATAACAATAATAATAATCCTTGCATTTGATATAGCAGCTTATCACGTGGTTGAGACTTCTCAAAGCGCTTCACACGATATACTGTGAAGTGAATTGACTGTGTATGTGTTTCAAAGGGACAGCAGTTATCTCCCGATCTCTTAGGGAGTACAGCCTGTTCCCATGTTTTAGGTTGGTTGGCAAGGAAAAAGTAAGTAAGGAAAATTGCCCAAGACTCCACAGTGTGCTGTGGAACTGCACAAACCTGTCAATCTGTATACCTAGGTATGAGAATAGAGATTAGAGCAGGAGTGGTTGATTCATATGGAGAAAAACACCAGCTCAGTCTTGATGAGAAATACGACTTTTCTGTACTGTAACATTCTATGATTCTATATAATGATAATAACAACCCTTGCATTTGATATAGCATCTTATCACGTCTTCGAGACGTTCAAAGCGCATTGCAGGATATGCTGTAAAGTGCATCGACTGTATATTTTGTGGGTGAAACGCGGCAGCGTACAGCAGCGTCCCAAAAACAGTTGTGGATTGAAGTGACTAAATTATTTTTTTTCTCTCTTCTGTCACTCAAGGGAATCAGGCAAATGAAAAGGTAAAGATGTGTGTTGCCAAGAGAAATGTTTGTTAGTCTGGAATCCATTTGAGTCTGGACTGGTAATTAAACAGTTTGTTACATTTAATGAGTACATCATTCACACATAAATCATATAAGTATCAATATTTTACGAATGTATGATTACATAAAGTGATGATTATAGAGAAGCCATCCACTAACCATATTGTACATTTCTAGCTTCCAAATATCTTCAAACTGTACATTAATAGAGATGCAGCAGAAATAGTGTGTGCATTGGCAGAGAATGTGCCAAACTCCAAATGAACTTCGCACATTATGGGAAAAAATACAGATATAATAAAAAATAATAATGATTCTTGATTGGATACAGTGTCTGTAAGCCTATAACGGTCTCAAAACGCTTCACAGATAATTGCTGTAAAGTGTAGTAACTGTAATCGTAGGAAATGTGATGAAATGTGATGAAACTTCCGCAGGTAAGAATGTCTTCTGTAATCAGTTATATATAGTGGAGATTGCATACAGAGATTGAAAAATACTTTCTTAAAAGTCTTAAGTGTTCCATTAGCCACCACATCGGTCCTTTTTCTTCTTGCATTTAATACAGCTCATAAAATTCATATTATTCAGCTTCGAAATGAACACAACTGTCAAAAGTTTAATCTTGGAATGACAGCCATTTCCAGCTACTGGAAGATTGATTTGTATCGACATTACATTTCAGTATCAAAATGCTCCCCATCAATATTTTCAACCTCTTAGCAAATGTATATGTTATAACTTGGGACTCCATCCCAGTCTATTGCCAAAACCCAGCTTATTTTCAAAATAATAGACATTGCAGTTCATCCAATTGAATGCTTCTTTGGTGAGCAAAGTTATGCTGTTAGGTTGACCCCAGGTTAAACTGTTCTCCATTCAACCTTACTTATGAAAATAACAGAATGAGGAATGATTCAAGGCACATACTGGAATTCACCCTCTGATTCGATTTGAGATTCGCCTAAATTAAACAAAATGCAACATTAAAAACCTTTAACAGAAATAATTTCAAAGGAAATATATAATTAAAATTGAAAAAAAAATGAACAGATAGTAAAAGCATCATTGCCTTCATATAAAAGCTTTCTACTCATCGTGGAGACCATTCAATTTGGCCAAAGATATTTTCAAACATCTTGACACCGTACTCACCTCCTGTATTCAAGGTGTTGCAGGCAGAGACGTCACAGAGTCCAGGTAAACCAGGCTGCCCAATGGGACCAGGGGAGCCAGGCAAGCCAGGCCTTCCTGCTGGGCCAGGTAATCCTCGCGATCCCTGCCTTCCTGGTTTCCCTTCACCTGGGAAGCCTACAAAACAGGGTCAAGTGTTCAGCACGTTACAAAACATACACAGTCACTGCACTTTACACAGTCACTGCACTTTACACAGTCACTGCACTTTACACAGTCACTGCACTTTACACAGTCACTGCACTTTACAGCATGTTCTGTGAAGCCTTTTGAGAACATCACAAAGACGTGATCAGGCACTATATCAAATGCAAGGATTATTATTATTATTATTATTATTTTGGTGTACAGGAACATTAGGGGTAAAATTCTACTTGGATCCTAGAACTACTCTATTCAGTGCTTAAAAGAACTTATAGAAAACCTGCTTCGAATTGAAAAACTGGATTTATGAATTGACAAATTCTGAATGCTATGTTAATGAAGTAAATCTAGACCCGAATTAGATTTCTACCCCACAGTTGGACAAGCTCGCTTCTCCTTTCAATGCGGAATATTTTGTACCATTTAAAAGACCGTGTGTATTAGAAAATAAAGGGCTGGTTTCTATTAACAGTTCCCAATGGAACGATTTTGCTTGGCAAGTGGATGTGATGTTCCTCCCCAAAGTTTGTATGAAACAAATCTGCCCCCCAATTTAGTTTGAAGTGTAGCCCGTTTTAGGTGTCTGTAGCACCAATATCTTTCACTGGTTGTTAATTACATGATCAAGGGCAACTATAATTCCCTTTATACACATGCATTAACATATAGTGCATAATACATAGGCATTTACACCCAATAATAATACTTGCATTTGATATAGTGCCTTATCACACCATTGAAACGTCTCAAAGCGCCTCACAGAATATACTGTAAAGCGGGTTGACTGTATATATGAGTGAAATACATGGCACATAATCGATCTTGACTGATAACAGTAATAATTATTACCTGGAGCGCCACTTGGTCCATCAGGGCCAACCCTATTAGGCCCTGAACTGCCCTTCTCTCCCTTTTCACCTTGGTTTCCTATTGAAAAAAGAGCCAAACATTTACAAGTGCAAAGCACTGAATGACCTGAAACCAGAAACTTAGTCGAAGAACAAAAAAAAATCTATGGAATGAGAAAACGATCATCAAACTCCTTTCATCTTTCCGAGAAGATTCCTAAACTGACTGCTATCAAAGCATTCTGCCACAGAGCAAAAATAAACTGAACGAACGTGATAAATAGCGATAATGAAAACAATTCTAATCATAGACTATAGTGTTGAAAGCACTGAGTGACTGTTGAAACATTCTGCTCGACTTTATTCATATTGCCTCTTGTTATAAAGAATAGTTATCTTATTGTCAATGTCTTGCAGTGACAAATTAGCACGATAGTTAATGGAAAATATGAACTTAGCACGACAGAAAGTACATACATGAGCTCTTAATATTAATAGACTTCAGTCTAAACTTCATTTTGGGTCTATTTAAACGCCGCATGCAGTCTGTGATATGAGAATCCTCACTGGTGATAATTAATATATCACATGCTGCATTTTCCTCCCGATTTGGAGTTACTCCATTGTATTTCTCTACCTGCGCTATTTGTGCAGCAAAAATCTCAGCTCGTATCTTAACGTACGAGCTTGGAGATGAACGTTACCTCTCTCCCCTGGATAACCATCTTTGCCAGGTTCTCCTGGCATTCCAGGTATTCCAGGAGTCCCTCTACTTCCAGGTGGACCAGGTAATCCTGGGTGACCCACTTCACCTGCTGGCCCCTGGATGATCCGTACAGGTGCCGGGTTCCTTGTAAACTTTTCCAGGAGAGAATCAACTCTGACCATGTGATCTAGTAATTAAAAGAAACATTAAAATCAGCAGAATCACTGCATTTGTAAATGTCAGTTATTCTGTAACACCATTTCATAATGTGTCTTAGTCGCACTGTACTTGGCTTCATATACTTGTATGACCATGAACAAAGCAATCACAATTAAAACTAAGAGGAGGTCACCTGGCCAGATTTAAGCCAACAGCAATAAATGATACGAATAGGGAGAGACAACTGATGCCCGAGCTATTTTGCGCACTTCTGGGTGATGATCCTGTGTGAATTGAGGTTGAACTACCTACTCAAGTGAAGCAAATCTCAGTGGAGACTTGTCTGAGGAGATGCTTTCAACTGGAATCCGCTCCAAAACAGTAATTTAAGAGGTCACTTTCTCTGCCTAGGTGCCAAGAAAGTACTGCATTGTTAAGTGCCTTGGGATGTCCTCACAGCATGAAAGCCGCTACATAAATGCAAATGGTATTGTATTTCTATATTTACATTTTTGTATTATATAACCTTCAGCTCTGCTCCCAAATCATATGCCCTTTTAATACTGCAACAAATTTGATGCCATGCATTCCAACTTCTTCAATGCATATTTTCTTTCACTCATTCCAAGATAACCCTGTATTCGTGTATTATATGCTTCCGCCCTCCCCAATCCCGACTGTCCAGAGCCTTGGGACGTCCTCCCGACATGAAAGGCGCTATATAAATGTAATTTTGTTGCTGTTATTCTTGTATTGTATTTTTACTAAGTGGTTGCTAATAACATTAAAGAATGGACAATAATTCGCAGTGCTGTGTGCAGCGGATCAGTTGTAAATGCTCACAGCTCTCCTTAGCCCAGAGCGAGAGCAATTGGGAGCAGAAAGAATAAATCCCGCTTGTGTCACTCCCAGCACTATGAACCAGAAATTGTATCACTCCTTATGTCAGAACAATTTTGATCAATGGTCCCATACTTGCTACAGCTCTTCAATATTATCAGTGCCAGATTTGGCCTTCAGCTCTGCTCCCAAATCACATGCCCTTTTAATACCGCACACATTTGACCCCATGCAGTCCAACCTCTTCAATGCAACATTTTCACTCATTCCAAGTTAACCTATTTTTGTGATACTTAATAACTCAGCTGAACGCAATAGATAAGATGTTTGTGGATGCTATTTTAATTCTCTATGTGGACATAATTATGATAAATTATTTCCATAGATATCAGTAACAATAGTCACTGCTTTTTCACAAACTCCTATAGGACTATGGGATCTTTAACATACATGGGAACTTAGTTTAATGTCTCATCCAATGATAGCACTTCCAGCAATTCACCCATATCCTCTGTACTGGTATTTGAGTTTATAAACTCAAGTGCTAATATCATAATGCACTTACGATTTTACCATTCAAGCATTATTGACACACATTGCACAGTAATAAGTGCATTATTCACTACATTCTTGAGAAGTAATCTCTGGATCTGGAATTTACTTACCCTGAACAAGCTGCTCACAAGCTTGAGTGACAAGTTGATAAACCGTAGCAAGGGATTGGGTTTCACCCTGCAATGAAAAGATAGGAAAACAAATGATATCGGTGACTGAGCTTTCAGATTCTACGCCCCTATCCTCTGGAACTCCTTCCCTTTACCCTTCTGTCTTGCAACCTCTCTGTTGCCAGGAAGGGTGGTTTAGACCAGGACATTGGACTCATTTAAAAAGTAACAATGCTGTGATGGGAAGATGGTAGGCTTTCTTCAGCCGAACCAATCTTGTGAAGTACTGCCTTAAAACCGATGTCTTCTACTGTCACCTCCCTCTTACCATTTACCCCTCTCCCCTGTTTGGCGTTCAACCCCATCATTCCTATGTGAAATGTGCAGGATAAATGCAAGTTGTTGTTTATTTCTGGCGAACATTTACATTGACATTTTAGTACAGTCAGAACGGTTACAAACATTTTTTTTACCTTTTCACCCTTTTCTCCTTTTGCACCAGGAAGACCCTATGAAACAATAAAAACTTTAGCGGTGAAATATTTGACGCAATCTCTTATATTTAAATGCATAATTGCATAAGCACAAAATAACCGTAAGTATAAAATATAATGTTAATTAACCAAAGATAGCTTGAACAATAATTCTTGGAGGCTGTGTTTGCTTTTGTATTCACTTTTTCCACACAGGAATCCAATAAAAAAAACAGAGTTAGAGAAGTTGACAAGATCCTGGGTGAAATGCCCAAACCACTTGAAATAAATTTGCTATGTTAGCCTCAAGCTAACAGTGCTCTGAACAGGCCACACCTATATCAAATCCAAGAATTATTCTTATTGCTTGAAGTACAGCTGACAGCTCTGGACACCATAACATGCAGGGGTAAATAGGACAATATACAGCTGGAACAGTTACCAGTGAGGCTGGTTGAGGCCAGGACATCTTTAGGAAATTAACAGTGGTAATCAGTAAGGGTGAGATTCTGGAAGTGTCAATTCAAATGGACTGAAGAACTTTCTTTATTAAAGTCTCTCTTGTGATTTGTATGATACTTACAGATGGCCCAACATCACCTGGCAGCCCCCTTTCCCCTGAATAGCCCGATGGTCCTGGGATTCCTGACGGTCCCTTAGAATCCATTAAAAAATATATATAATTTAACCGAATAAAACAAAATTCTGAGACAAACATCCAGGATTGTAAAGGGTGTTTTGTAGCAGCTTAATCTACTGACTACTGTCTGTTCGATTCCAGTTTATGAGGTGTAGTCATGCATCAAACATTTTACAAAGAAGTTTAAAAGAAGAGTATGGAACGTGAATAGAGGAAAAAAGAGAAAATGGTGCGGGAAAGCTCTTTTCCATACTTGAGTAATTTAGTCTTGATACCGCAGTAATAAAGCTGCCCTAATGTTTGGAAAACTGATGTTTGTATTGTTATATTAGCATTGTTTTCAGCATCACTGTGGATGTATCAGCAACAACTTGCATCTATATAGCTCCCATCATGCGAGGTAGTGTCCTGAACCCCTTAGCTCCCAGTATCTTACCACAGCAATAATTACAAGGATATAACAGTATGTTTGCTATTTTTAGTGATCAGATTTAAGACAGATTGTTTGAAAACACACAGAAACTCCTGGCCCCCAGAGACTGATGTTCCAGGACACCTGCTGTCAAGTCTCAAAGCTTAACCAAACTGCTGGAGCACAGGAGTAAGATGACACTATCTGCCAACACCAACTCAATGGAACAAACAAAAAGATGTGGGCCTTGTTTGGACCAGAAGTAAAATAACAGGGGAAAAAAATAGCATCCAATGTGAAGCTGTATTGGGCTTCTGGTTGGCCAGTTGTGATGAAACAAGGGATATCTCTTGGGACTTCAAGACAAAGATATTGGCATAAATGTTACTTATTCTGTCATGATGGGGTGCAAAAGCAGAAGTCGTTCATGTACGATTTGCTTCAAGTGAAAACAGTAAGGGTGTATAGCGAGCAATAATTTCAATATGAAATCATATTAAACGGACTGTAATCAAGCGATCCTGCCTTCAATATTGAGAGAGGAACACTGGGTATTTGTGTTTTGAAGTATAGAATAGGAGGGTGAAATGGGCTGTGAAACAGCCAGTTACTCTTGTCGACAAAATACATCTTCCAAACACAAAAGTTTAATAAAAGTCTGAATATTTTGTTATGAATGAATCGCCATGGCATTAGTGAAATGTCTGCAAAATAAGCTTTAATACTCGAATTTCCCTTTTTTAAGATCAGCTGGCACTTCAGATTATCCAAACCAGATATGTATGTGTGTGTATGTATGTATGTGTGTGTGTGTGCATGTATGTATGTGTGTGTGTGTATGGATCTGTGTGTGTGTGTGTGTGTATGTATGTATGCCATCTGTGCATGAAAATGTCTCTGTGTCTGGAATGGAATGTGTACTCTCTCCCTGGAGGGTGAGCTCTACTTACTTAATTCTGCCGTGTATTAGGCTTAAGTTGGTGAGATTTGGCTGGCCATCAAGAGCAATATTTAGCAAAGTTCATAATGAACCACAAAACCATAATCGTGTGAGACTTACTCTTGGTCCAGGAAGTCCAGGGGGTCCTAGTGATCCTTCCAATCCTCTTGTACCCTAAAACAGTTGGCACAATCCATGTCACAGAAAATTCAATGTTTGTCCCAATCAGTATAAAGGATGGCAGTTTCCCCTCCCCTCACAAAAGCACAAAATCATCATTTGTGTTTCCCAGTTGAATTCCCATTGCTCCAAATTTTCCTTATTTCACTCTAAGAGTCATGACGAAGAGAAGTGACTTTGAAGTCTCCTTACCAGCACCTCAAGATCTCTTAAAGTACAGCAACAAATTACATTTGTATCGCATCTTTCACGTCGGGAGGACTTTCTCCTGACATTTCACATGAAAATATATTCTGCTAACAATTACTCGCTTCAGAATTTTCCAAGGAGATTTACACACAAATACAGTTTTACCTTTGGTCCCTGAAGGCCATCTCTCCCTTGTGGCCCCTGAGGACCTGGTGGACCCTAGAGAAAGAGACAGTACTTTAGTTTTGGTGGAAGAGGTTCTGGAGTGGACCCAGGAAGAGAACGTATAAAGGCAGCGCTCATTTGCTTGGCATTCCTACACTGTCTGAGGCAACATTACCAACACAGTGCATTCTTAAGTCTTAGAAGATGAGCTAAACAAAGAGTACTTCTAATCAATGATGCTCAAGCTGGCTAAATCAGAGCTGCGATTCTTGGATAAGGTGGTTTTAAGCAGGACTTTACGCAGTTGTAATTTAATGCTGGAATTATACCAAATATCTTAGGCCGAACACTGTGATTCCCATCGAATCAATGCAAGATTTTTGATATGGATTCAGTTTCAGAGTCCTGAGGCTTGATTCGGGTGTGAGATTCCCCTGGGAGGCAGCTTAGTACTTGGGCTTCATGTTGGCTGTGGCATTACTGCAATTTGACTGGAGTTAGTTAAAATAATAATATAATAATAATAAACCTTGCATTTGATATAGCTCCTTATCACATCTTCGAGACGTCTCAAAGGACTTCATAGGATATACTCTAAAGTATAGTGACTATGCGTTTTGTGGGCGAAACGCAGCAGCCAATTGCGCACAGCAGTGTCCCGCAAACAGTCCACAAAATGCCAGAAACCGAGTTATGTTTCTTTCACATTGTGACTACCGTAATTACTTATAGAATATAGTAAAGAAATGCACGGAGCAGTTCTTTAAATAAAGGCCTTTTATTTTGATGTAGAAATGTTACTACTGGAAGTAAAGTAGCATTTCAAACTAGTTTTTCAATTCTTCCACTATGTTTCAACTGATGGAGTAAAATAATATACATTGCTAAATGGTTGAAGAGAATTAAAGCTGCACAGATGAAATGATCTGCTACCCCTAACTCTATATGATATAATTCCCTAGGCAACAACATCTTCCAACGAGAAACATAAATTCCATCATGTTCATCATTTGTATATCTTAATGACAGTCTAAGGGCTTGAAGCGACATCGCAAGTGCCAGCCCTGAAGGCAATGGTTTGATAATTTCTGGGGTCGACATGTTTTGGTTTCTCAGCTGTCAAATGAGTCTATTATTGTCCAACACAATGAATAGTCAATAGCTCCATTGTGTAGCCATCTGACAGAGTTACCGGGGAAATATGTCTGAGTTTTGTCTGAGATCGAGTTATAGGTTTAGCATTTTTGTGAACTTTAAATTGATATTATATTTGAGGAAGCATTCTCTTTTGGTTCTGCCCCGCGTTGGGAAATTTCCAGAGATCAATTTTCTCAGCCTATATTTCATTTCTAATCAAATGTTGATTAGGATAGCAATTCCCAGACTTGCTTGAGTATTTTAAAATTGAACCATTCAGACACACAATTTTTCAAATCCTTGAGATTTGCTATTGTTCAAGCCATTGCAGCACTCAGTTGCTGCCGTGCTGAAGTAGAGACTACTTCTAAATAAACATGTTTAATTGAAAAGTAATCAGGAGAAATAAATCTACTTGAATTACCTGTTTTCCCTTCAGTCCAGGCTCACCTTTCTGTCCTTTTTCACCAGTGGGACCCTTTTGAGTAAATGAAAAGTATGTACAGGATTCATCATTTTCATTATCATCAAATTATGGCTCTCTTACTTTTGTGGTAAGCCAGATGTCTGACACGTGTAGAAAAGCATCATCATAGTTCAGCACACCCAAATGAGACTGAGAATGGCATGTACACACGGCCAAATTACGGGATATAACATGTTAACCTCATCTTTTAAGCAGTATCCACAGATGACTTAAATGTTTGCATGCAAAATTGAATGTTCTTTTGTTAATGAATAAGTCATACTCACTGTAGGTCCACGGACGCTCATTCCCCTTGGCCCAATAGATCCAGGTTTACCATCTAGTCCCATAGGCCCTGGGTTGCCGATTGGACCTTCTTGACCCTTAAAAAATAAACGATAACATGTATAATAATCCTTGCATTTGATATAGTGCCTTATCACCTCGTCGAGACGTCTCAAAGCGCTTCATAGACTTTACGATAAAGTCTAGGATTCAAAACGTTCTAGATAACTCTTGTTCTAGTTAAATGAATCCTTTCATTTGATATAGCGCCTTTCACGTTACATTTTCTTACACATCAGGAGGACGTCTCAAAGCGCTTCACAAGATTTCCTAGACAGTAGTGGCTGGGTATTTTGTTGACGAACAAATGAGTAACATGAATGTTTTCTTCTACATCTGGATTATATTTTAACACTGCATGGATGGAATTAGGAATTAAATGTAATAAAATCTTGCTACAATTGATTTAAGTTCACACTTGCCTTTGGGCCAGGTTCCCCACGCTCACCCCTGGCTCCTCTTAAACCAGGGTTGCCCTGCAGATTTCATTACAAAAATGTCCAAGATTACAAGACATACAATTTGCATTCAATTGAAAAACAAATTTGAATTCTTAAAAGAGTGAGCAATTAACTTGCAAGAAATTAATACATTCAAACTTTTCTCACGTCACAAAGCACAGATAAAATCATTGTCCACTCTGTAAATCCTCAAAACCTCATAGGGTATGCCTATAATGGGCAAAACTAGGCTATAATCTCATGATGTCAAGTATAGTAAAGTTGCTGAAAAATGGAAAATGACTCCCATACTATTAACAGAAAAAAAGTGTTAAGACTCCAATTCATTGTAAGTTAAGTATGCATTCTTAAAAAGGTAATCACATCTTTCCAGTGCTCTCTGCTACGGCGTGCGACTTCAAAATACATCTAGCTCTGCAAATTAGTTTATTGTAGCATTGGACAAATGTGGCGCCTTCGGAATCCCATCATAACCGGACTAAAAGCAATTCACGTTGCACTCAGCTTCACTAACAGCTCCTAATGGAAAAAAGGTAATCTTCACTAGGGTAAAAAACATCAACAAGCAGCGTGAGATCATATTACAGGAATTTCCACTCCAAGTCATTGATTTGAAGAGCGCCCCCTCCCCCACACGCTTTGTGTTTGGACAAGAACATTGAAGGGCAGAATACTGATGCTCTTTGAATGGTGTTGCTTAAGACCACGGTAGTCCATGTTGACAGGGTTACAAGCACCAACTCAGTTATTTTAAGCTCTCGTCCCATTGACTCATCCCCTCACCTTTCCTGCAGGGACACCTGACCTAACCGTGACCTGTTGTTACTCAGCAAAGGCATTCTGACTCTTGTTCCCGCGGTTTACACTTTGTGTCACAGGAGATTACAACTCACTGGTGGTCCTGGGGCCCCCAATGGTCCTCTGATAGCTGACGAACAAGTACAAGCGGGGGCACGAGTGGGGCAGCTCACTTCATCTGTCTACAACCAGAAAAACAATACAATCAGAAAATACTGGTTTGCCGTACAATAGATAACTGGGTTCCTACTTACTGCCAGGTAAACAGAGGCGGGTGGAGTAAGGGAAACTTGCCCAGCATTTCATCCTACCGCGAATCGAACCCGGGTCTCTCGCTTGTGAGGCGAGTGCTCTAACCACTGAGCTACAGGACTCCACAAAGTTAAGACTGCAATTAAGAATTTGTCAAATTCTGGCACTCTGAAGTGCTAAGAAAGTAGAATAAATCTAGATCCATTTGATTTAATGAATCTATAGTGGATTGTAGACCCATTTATATTATAGATGCATTTCACTGTATTTATTGTTAGTACTTTTGGAATCATTGTATCTCTGCTCAAATAGGGTAGTCACTCTCTGGCTAATGAGATAGTGAGATGTGTGTGTTTATTGGATACCACAGGTAGCAATGGTCTGACTGGGTTGAAAAGATGTGTGAACAGAGTTAACCAGGGGGCAGTTTACAAGCATCTGTACCTCTGCAAGAGCACATGTTCTGACTGTGTCTTGTGGATTGTTTGATGATTGCAATAGTTCCTATTAGTCAAAGCTTTTAGCTTGTTCCAAGCTGCGCAGCGGAACAGAACAGCAGAAACACATTCCCAAAGTCGAGAGATGTTTCGACATAGATTTGCTTTATCTAATTATGATCTGCCATTTATACCTCTTCCCAGAAGACTGCTTAAGAGAGAAAATAAATGTGTCCCAGGAAAGGTATACGTCTATATCCAAATGCAAAAGTGTCTTCTCTTTCACTGTGATAAACCAAATATTGAGAGGCCTTGGTAAATGTTACTCTTTTGGAAGCTTTCTTGTTGCATGTAAATGGCCATTAGCTCTAACACTAAGTGAAAACATGATAAAGTAAAACTTATGTACATACACATATATATTAATTTGACTCACGAGTGCAGGTAGATCACAGCAATTGTCCACGTCAGCCCAGGAGGTATTGCAAACTATTTCAAATGCCCGCAACTGGATCTGAAAATAAACAGTGGAACGGAATAATGTAAAAGAAGAATTTAAACCTGAAACAAACTGATTCCTATGTTTGTCACTTACTGGTACTGAACTGTTTCTCGGTACCCCTGGTTTTGCAAGTCTCCCTAGAATCTCGAAACCTTCAGTGGGGAACATTCCAATACGGTTAATTAACTTCCCTCCGACCTCCTGGCAGTCAATATGAAGCTTGACACTTGTCCCATTCACTGTTATATGAACCTAAGGGGAGACAGGAAAGCCCAGATCTGGTTTACAATTACTCGTGGTGAAAGATGTACTCCTTTGTATGATCAAGGTCAAAAAAGGGCGCCTTAATGAAACCCGGCTGCCACTAAATATGCATTTCGTGCTCAATAATGCATGCGGTCAAACTAAAACCAGCATCGCTTTCTATTTATAGAAATGTATTCAATAATGGTATGTATTCGTACCACCTCAAGCTACACCGAAAGTAGCTTATCCAGTGGTAAGTATGAAACGCACAAAATAGATTGCATGAGAAATACTATATTAGAGCTCTTTATATAGGTCAAATGGAGTCAGACACATGCATGCAATTGTGAGTCAATGGAGGAGAATAACTTCCTCACAACAGCAATGAGTTCTTACTGGTTTAAAATCATCTCCTGTAGCTGGGAGTCCTGTAACTCAGTGATTTGAGTACTCGCCTCGCAAGCGAGAGACCTGGGTTCGATTCCCGGCAGGGCGAAATGTTGGGCAAGTTTCCTTACTCCACATGCCCCTGTTTGCCTAGCAGTAAGTAGGAACCTGGTTGTTAGTTGATTGGTGGATCGCTTTTCCGGGGGTAATAATTGCTTCAAAAAAATAATAATAATAAATTGGTCATTTTCAATCCATGACTGTTTGTGGGGCACTGCTGTGCGCAATTGGCTGCTGCGTTTCATCCACAAAATATAGTCAATTCATTTTACAGTATATTCTGTGAAGCGTTTTGAGACATCACGAAGATGTGATAAGGTACTATATCAAATGCAGGGATTATTATTTATTATTATCTCTACCTTATGGAAACTTCCAAAGAAAATCCTCTTAACTTGGGGCTGATCAAACGTAACCGCCTGAAAGTCATTCTTATAGTCCAGGTTAAAGTAGTTTAGAGAGGTTTTGGTATCTGGATGTATAATGAGACAAAAAAATGAATTACAGCTTTAATTATTCTGAGAGGAAAGCAAACATCATTAAACATAATTGCAAGCTTTTACCAAATACTTGTTATACAGTTCATGTTACAATAGCTCAGTGGTTAGAGCACTCGCTTTGCAAGTGAGAGACCTGAGTTCAATTCCCGGCAGGTCAGGGCGAAACCTTGGGCACACGCCTTACTCCACACGCCTAATAATAATCCCTCCAAAAAAAAACAATAATAAACTGGTCATTTTCAATCCACGATTGTTTGTGGGACATTGTTGTGCACAATTGGCTGCCACGTTCACCCACAATTATACAGTCAATTCACTTTACAGTATATTCTGTGAAGCGCTTTGGGACGTCTAGAAGACGTGAAAAGCGCTATATCAAATGCAAGGATTATTATTATTATATTGAATAACATCAAAACTACAACAGTAAGTAAATGTGATTCAATGCTCCACAGGCTTACAGTCCAAAATGATCCCAACCAGAGGCTGAAAGTCTTTATCCACAATCTGCCAAATTGCAAATGGCTCTTTGGGTGTGTTTGGAAGCAGTCGGAATAAAAAACTAATGGTGTGCTCAGGAGGTAGTCCAATGGGGTGTATATTCCTAGGCAGAAAAACAACAGAGAACCAGAAATTGTAACTATAGGGCAATACCATTATAACATCATCTCTCTATCCTCACCCCCACACTGCCCTTTGCTAATAGCACTGATGTCCTGTTAACTGGAAATGTGGTACACCTGGTTTCTGACACTGACGAGCCAACTATTCACACTAAAAACTCCGGTGTGAGTTTGAGGACTTTATTACTCTTTGGTTAATAAGCAAAACGTTTGAGCTTCTGAACATCTGATGGTTCCCAGACATACTTACCTAGTGAGCTGTGTGAGCTGAGCATTTTTAAAAATCCTATATGATGGTGACCCAGTAAAGATGTCAGCCTCCATAGAAACTCCGTCAAGCACTGAATACTCTGTTTTTACCAGTCCAAATGCCTCCATCATGTTAATTCCTGCAAAATAAAAACTGTATATAAAAAACCCTCCTTGTGATAAAGAGCTCATTGTAACCCACTGACATTTATAAATATATAAGATTGATATAGGTCATTTAAAATAGAATATTAAGATACATCAGCAATACATCCCTACCTGGTACAATGGTGCCTCTAATATGTGTCAGAGGGCAGGCTGAAAATAAACAACGAGCAATGAATTAATGGAAGAAATACCGTCCACCTCGAATGTTATTCGAAGTCACGACAACCTTGTTTGGGATTTGTTTATTCGCAATTTACTAAGTAATAAAATGGGCAACATATAAAAACTATTTGCTGGATGGCAAGTACCACCTTGTCGAGTTTTCAGGCAAATCTAAAGTTTTTTTTTAAACTGTGTGCGTGTGTGTCTGTATAAAGATGTGTTCTGCAGAATCACAAGAGAGATTTGATCTATTTGATCTCATCCTTCCATAAAACCCACCTCCCTTCACTATCCTCCCTTCACAGCATCAAGCTGTTTTTTTGAATGAGTCCAGAATCCTGGCCTGAACCACCTTTCCTGTTCACCCTGTTCCAGTCTTAATTACTCTCTGGCCAAAGAAATACAGTATGTCCTGAAGTCTTTCCTGAAATTGCCCTTTGCAACTCTAAACCTGTGGCCCCTTGTTTTTGCTAGCTCTGTGCATCCAAATTTATCTCATGTAAGATTTACCTCATTAAATAATCAGGTACTCCCCCCCACCCCCACCCCTTGTGCATTCCACCACTATGAGAAGTGATAGGGTTGCAAATGGACATTTCAGAAAAGGCACATTACTCGCTCTCTTTACTCAAAGGATAATTAACGTCTGATGTGTAAGATGTCCAGAAATCTATAACTATGGTTATTCATTTTCTTGCATTGCATTACCAGAACTCGGTTAGTGTAAGACAAATCTACAATATTGTCTTGTAAAATTGTACAATATTGTCTGGAATGAAAGGAGTGAGCAGTCTGAGAAAGTGAAGTACTTACATGTGGAAACAGTCTGACAAATGGTTGCAATAAATTTATTTCCAATGCTCTGTAAATTACTGAAGCCCGTTGCATAGAAAACAGTCCTGCTGTTAGAAGTGCTAGCAATTTCATTCATCCTCATCTCAGAAGCATTGCCAAGCCCAAGAACAAAGGTAATGAATCCTGTTTAAAAATGATTAGACTAATAGTCACAAAACGTCTGGTTTGTATGTACAGTCATCCAAATACACAGTCAATTCACTTTGCAGTATATTCTGTGAAACGCTTTGTGAAGTCTCGAAGATGTGACAAGGCGCTATATCAAATGCAAGGATTATTATTATTATTATTATCCCAATTTGCAGTATGAGACCACAAATGGCAGCAATTATTGTGTTTAACATTTTCAGTACATATGGCAATAATATTTTGTCCACATAGCCAAGCTTGAATTTTTTTAGAAATGTTAATTAAAAACTGAGGTAATGCAACAAAAGCCATGTCAATAATACTAAGTAAATACTAAGTAAATCAGCTCCACAAAACTGTTAGTACATAATTTATGCAGTTTTATTTCTTTAAACAACAAATTCTCAACAAAAGACAATATTAACAGTCTACAGCACATATACCTCTGTAAGGAATCTGAGTTCTGTATTACTAAATAATTTACAAAGTTGCAATTAGAAAATCTATCCAGTGTGCACAACTGTGTTTCGTTTTGTTTTGCAAATGAAAAAATATGAGATTGCACTGGGGCCTCAATTAGGTTTATCTACTGTATTCGTGTTGTAAAAAAAANGTTGATTTTCTCTTAGTCCCATAATCACCTTTCAATGCCAGCTCTTCTGCAGTTTGGCGTATCTCATTGAGCACGTTTCCACCGCTTATTATGGCTAAAATTTTGTGAACGCCTCTCCTTCTTAGCGTTTCGTTAATGGAAAACAGATCTTTAACACTTTCTCCACTCTTAGCTGAAAGATAAAGTTGAACAAAGCCACAGTTTATACATCGGTGAAGTCATCTTGTGTGAATTCCAATAATTCATGACTATCTGAGATGAATTGATGATTATTAACTGGTTCAATACTATAAACATATAACATTTATTTGTGTCCGACTTGTATATCTCTGTTAATGTGGTCTCTGTCGCTCTGTGGACACCTGGTATATTTTGTAATTGAAACATTACAATATAATAATCCTTAATTTTGATACAGCGCCTTATCAAGACATACTATGAAATGGATTTTGCTATGTATTTTGTGGGCAAAACGTGGCAGCCAATTGCGCACAAAACAGCCACGAAGGAAGTGACCAATTTTTATTATTTGGGAGATTTGTTGGATCAGGCAGGACACTGGGAGAAACTCCCTTTTTTTTCCGAAGAGCGACATGGGATCTTTAACATCCACTTGAACAGGTAGAGGGGCCTCTGTGTAACTTCTCATCCAAAGGTAATAAAATGGGTGATTATCGGAGGATAGTTCGAATATTCACGTTGTATCACAACTTGTATTTATATTACAATCACAACAGTCTCAACAGATGATGGCTCCATAAACCAGAAGCGTGTGTGAACTGCATTCTGCATCCCTTAACGTCATCTGTCATCGCTTCCTGTTATATATTCTTTCTAAGCAACACTGCAAATATTTATTGAATACTCCAGCATGACTCATCCAATTGATGTTAACCATATTCGTCCACAAATAGATTTCCCCTCTAATAGGTATTCTGTTGGAGAATTTGTTTAATATCTAGTTATGTTTTCTCCTGTCTGTGATGTGCCCATTTACGATGAGCTCTTTGTTCATCTACAACCTACTTTGTGTACACCGTGTTCACGTTAATAGCTGCAAATGCAGACAAACACAGCACTGCAACAAATAAAATTGTTAAAATAACCTCAATAATAGTAGATGGTGGGCACAGGCACATATTTCTGCACACAGCTGTTTGTTTTGGATGAGATGCAGGCACACATTTATAACTCTTAAAGCACATTCAAGAGTCTAGAAGGAAAAACCTAGTCCTGGGATTTAGCAGAAAATGATATGGACAATGTTCACCATTTGTCCCTCGTGTGAGAAAACGAGCACAACACCAAAATAACTTTCAAGTCGCTTTGATCTGGTTGTTAAACTTTGTGAAGATAAACTTCTTTTATTCAGTAGTTTTAATGATTAGTTTCATAATTAGGATTATGAAAAACTGCCCTTAAAATAAATTATTATTATTATTATTATTAATGTCATAAAAGAATTGTGAGTCACCAAGTGATGTCTGTACCTGCACCTGCCTGTTTCCCTCTGTAAGGTAATTCATGGATTGCTCCCAATAGACTCTCTTTACTTCTAAAGGAGCCAAATTCAATTTCACTTTTCATATAATTGCTGAACTGAGCAACTGACACCTGTTACAAAAAAAGAATAAATTAGCATTTATCAGAAGAATAAAAAAATCCCCAAAAACATTTTTCAGTTTCTTCTTCCTTTGGGTTTGTAGTTTTACTATTTTGATAATAAAACACCACATAGAAATAGAAGCAAACCTAATTGACACTGATTTTGTATTTACACTACAGCTCATTTCATGGACCTTTGTGGGACAATGTTATGCGCAAATTGACTGCCATGTTTATCTACAAATTACACAGTCACTGCACTTTACCATATATCCTGTGAAGTAGTTTGAGACATCTTCCTGTCCTCCCCATGCAAGAATTATTTATTACTTTACAAACTCCTTATGTACAACGCTGTCAGATACTACAGTCATTTTATCACTTCTAATTTGATATTTATCAGTTTCTAAAGATTTATGAGCAAACGTGATTCAGTTAAACAACAATCTATGCAAATGATTAGTACAAGTCCGTTTTTTCATCAACAATTTTTCTTTTTTACATAAAAAGATATATTTGGGGATTTTTTTGTTTGTCTAAGCCCACGATCAGAAAATCCATTCAGGGAAAAAGAAGTGTTCAACTTCTAAGAGCAAATAGAGTAGTTTAACTTTCATTTTGAATGGAATGAATATTGAATATGTTTGGATGCATTCGAGTGTTACTTATTGAAGCAATAAAAGATGGTGAAGAGAATCAGATGCTTGCTTAAAGCTCATACATTACCTGCATTCCTTCTGGACCAATTGTGTCTAAAACACTAACGCTTTCGTACAGGAAGCCAATGAGTTTCTTGAAGTTTATTTCTCCTACATGTTGGGATCCATCTATTATGAACGCCAGGTCCGCTGTTATGTGCCTGCAAGCTAATGAAGAGAGGAAGAATTATCGCTCCTCCACAAATTGACTGATCATTTATGTGAAGCTACAAACAACTGTTCACTACTCTGGAGGCTTAAAATCCATTATGTGACCCTGTGTCTGGAGTAAACCATATAAACACATGGAAGGTAATAAATGGGTTGGATTTGTAGGCAGTATTTTAATCACAAAGTTCTGATGAAGCTCGAGTGGTTTTACAAAGATTATAGAGATCACAACTCTTCCAAGATTTAAGCAGTATTTTCAATCCTAGCCAGCCATTAGTTACCTTACAAGCTATGACTGTGCTTCTCTCTACAAAACCTTTTTGTGTGTGTGCTTAATGTTTGGTGGGAGCTGTACAACACTAGGTGAAGACAGCGTTAACATATAAGACTTTAAGCGGCTGAAATTCAATGCTTTTCTCCCAGCTTTAAACGCGTTGTCTTGTCTATTTGTGACTTCTGTTAAGAACTCTGCTCAGAACTCATCTGCAGCGTTTCAGTGAAGTGATTTACTTATTGGTGTTGACAAGTAAGTGTAACAAAAGAGCTCAAGGGTGTGTGTGTGTGGGGGGGGTGGGGGCGCGGAGGGGGGGGAAGGGGGTTATTTCTTGTCACAAAACCTTGTGTAGCAAATATTATTGTAACTTCCTACATAACGATAAAAATCAGTAATATTTGTTACACCAGGTTTGGAATTGGATGTGGGTGATGCCATTTACTTTGTGAACTGAATTATCCACTAACTTGGTGTAGTTGTGAATATTATTATTATTATTATTTAGGAAAAATAATGACATTGCATATTGACTCTCCCAACATACAGCATCAGTATCCGTGGAGCTAAAATAACCACAATGCCATCTTGTGGTTCATAGAAGGAAAGCCAATCCTAATAGTGAATGAAGTTGCCTGTGGCTCTTGCACATTAATACAAAATGAAATGACAATAATCTTACCCTTTATGGCAGCAGTAATACCACCTGGGTCAAGAGATGACCTGGTTGGAAGAGGCACTGTCAGTAAAAGCAAAGAAAGAAATGATCATCAGGCCGGAGAAATGGCTTCATCAAACTAATCAGTGTGTATCTTACCTGATGCGCTCCCTTGTGCTGAAAATAGCACAATTCTGCCTACACGAACACAGTTGGAAACCCATTTCCACGAAGATTGTGCCTTGTACTTGGGCATTCATTCACTAAACTGTACAAGAAGTACTTGTGTTAAGGAGAAAAACATGGATATCTTCTGATATGTGTTATTGGCTCATACGAATGTTCTAATGATAAAGTAGTAATAATGGCAATTGGCTAAATGGTGAGCGATGAATTTAAGGTTGAGTGCCCACATTTATAAAAACTCTTGTGGGGTGTATATAGAATCAGTAAAGCCTAAACATACCCTAGTGTTGATGTTGGTGACTGGAATAAACTTTATGGAACTTACGTGTAGACTGGAGAATGGAAACACCAGCTCCTTCCATGTCTTCTAGACGTGTATAGATGGTAATTCTGTACTGTGTATCTGGAACTAGAAGTCTAAAACAGTGCCTATCTGTTCCTGCTCTTAACATGTCTTCCTGGGTCTTTCCGTCTATAGTTGCAAATAGAAAATGCTCAATTACAACAGTCAAGATTGATAAAGATCTTTTAGAAATAGAAGAACGTAATAAGTAATAAGTAAGTAATATTACTTATTACTTGGATAAACCAAGTCTGGAATGGGGACAGCTTTTGTAGAAACTGAAACTGGTTAAACCCATGATGGTATTGGCAAGTCATTTGCAGTGCTGATATTCATGATGCAATAGTTTCTTTGCCATAAACCTTGCAACCATGCATTTTACCAATGGGATCGGTGATCAGTGAGGTTACAGTAATGACCTCTTCTGTGCTCTGATTCAACCCTTGTAAACTGCTGCCTAAGTGAGAGCTCTGCTCACTGTTAGCACCAGTTGATGGGATGCCAGTCCAAAGGCAGAAAAAGGAAATACAATAGAAATATCATAAAGAACAGGGAGAAAAATTAAACCCAAGTTCACATTTATCCGTTTTCAGTAACAGGAGTTGGGTCAAATGGCCTGGTTCTGTGCTGTAACATTCCATGTAATTCAGTGTCCGGGGATTGTACCTCGAAGTGATTCCAACACTATCCTGTAGAAAGAGGCATCGGGGTGAACTTTCCATTTCGCGCACAGGGAGGTGATCTGCGTTTGGTAGATGCTAAGCTCAGTTATGTTCAAGTACACTGCAAAACAAAATAGAATTGAGGGGAAAAAAGGCTAACAAGCATCTAGTCTGCAGAACAAGAATTCAACAGTGCTCAGTTTTGTCGGAAAGGGTGAAACATGCTCAATGCACGATGTACAAATCCTTTTTATTTTAAATGTAATTGAGGAATAGGATAAATGTATGCTTTTTTTTCTTGACAGTGCAATAAAAATCTAAATGTTATAATTTGGTAAATCAAACCTAGGTAGGAGAGAGTTAAAGGCAGTATTTTATTTAAATCCTTTGACTAGGACTGCCTTGTCATTTCCTCTTACCTGCCCCTAATTCTGTACTTAATAATAATCCTTGCATTTAATATAGCGCCTCATCATGTTGTTGAGACATCTCAAAGCGCTTCACAAAATATACTGTAAAGTGAATTGACTGTATATTTTGTGGGCGAAACGTAAGCCACACAAACTTACATGTTGAAGCTTTGCCTTCGATAGCACTACTATTGCCAGTTCGGTATAAAGCAAAGACTCTAATGCCGTACTCCAGACCATTCTGTAAATTCAGAATTTCTGCCGAGTCGGCATCCTCTTTGGTTATCAGCTCCATGGCTGGACCTGCAAATAAAAGAAGCCTTTTCATTCTTTTGACTGCACAGCAACAGAATTACTGTAGCACAGAACTAAATAAGGCTTTGGACTTTAGTCATTCACACTGCTTGCTGGAGATGACACTGAATCAGTTTTGAAGTCCACATTTGCTATCACCTGAATCAAGAACAACAACTTGCATCTATACAGCGCCCTTCACGAGGGGTAATGTCCCGGAGTGCTTGACAGTGGTGGAGTCTCAAACCGAGCCAGGGGGGGAGAGAGGTGGGAGGTGACCGTAAGCACGATCAAAAAGGAAGGAATGATCAAAGTGCGCCGCCTTAGGAGGCAATGTTTTTGCTTTGATGGAATGAACACTTTCCCAGAGCAAGTGTGGATGGAGGAATTTACCTTAACAAGCAGCATGGTACTTGATCTCCTCTCCTCCGATATCAAACAGGATTTGTGTCATTTACTCAAACGAGTGTAGCTTTGAGACTGCATCAATGCGCTAAGACGTGAACACCAATGCTAAAAATTTCAAGGACTTGTGTTACAAGAAAAAGGCAACCCTCTGAAGCAGATGAATCCCCTCCACAACGCAAACAAAACCGAATCCATACTTGCCATCAGTCGCCTGGTACATCACAGTGAATCCCATGGGTTGTGGCTTAGGATGGTTCCAGGTGATGTGCAAGTGGTCATACCATTCTTTCGAAATCCGCAGGTTCGTCGGTGGAGAAAATGCCACTGCAGAAGAGAAATTAATGAAACACTGCTCTGATCTGCTGAGGAGCACATTTCCCTGACAGGAGAACAACTCAAAGCGCTTTACAGTAAGAGTACAGTGTATCAGACTGTCAAAATAGTCAAAAATGCAAAGTGATAAATCTTTTCAATGGAAATTCTTAGCGCAGAGAGGAAGGGGACAATGCGGAGGGTCATTGGAAGAGAGCTCCAGAGGCAGGGCAAAATGGCTGAAGGCTTGCCCACTTGAGGTGGCACGGCTGTGAGAGGGAAGGGAAATTGGAGTAGGCAGAGTTAGTAGAACGGTAGTTGGAGTAGTTGGGTTCCAGGAAGTCTCAGAAATAGGGTGGGGCAAGGCTGTGAAGGGATTTAAAAATCAGGACAATTATCTTGAATGTCATCTGCTAGGAGTAGGGAGCCAGTGGAGTCAGGCGAAGTGGGGTTGACGGGCTGGTGGAACCTGATGTGGAGAGGATGTTGTGAGATTGATTTCACTGCTACATATCGGGGCAAGCGAACAATTAAATATCCACTCAAACAATTATACACGGAGTAATGGTGTTAAAATAAGCACGCCAAATTCTGAAAACAGCAAAGCAAGACGCAGCAAATATTGTCGTTGTACGTACAGGTTTTGCCCACTCCAGACACACTGGTTTCATCGCCTGAGGAATAGACTGCCGTGACTGTCACTCTGTACGTGGTGTCAGACTCCAGTGGCTGCAATGTTTTGCTGTTACTCTTGATAGGGATGATCTGGAATATGATAAGACTTTGATTTAACGAAATGCAGCATTTTGCTCCCTTTGAAGAACAATCTACTTAGACAGTCTTCCTTTTCTCAGCATCACGCTATGCCATTGTTAAGTGCTGAGACATGATAAGGCGCTACATCAAATGCAAGGCTCATTGTATCATTATTACCCTCAAAAGCATTCATCAATCCTTCTGCTATCAGGAAAGCATTCAGCTGAAACTATTCCCAGACTGTTCTTGATTGCTAGTATGCATGGCGAAGGGATGCAAATAATTCAGAATATTCATAGAATCATTAGTCAAGGTGACAGATCATGCAAGCCCGTCAAAAAACTGGAGCCAAAGCAACAGAGATAGACAGATTAGTTTTACAAAGAAATGATTTAAAGAGAGTCTGTGTCGGTGGTGACAGGGTAAGCTCTGTCTAGCCTTGTCATTTCAGTGTAGAATCGTCAGACATTTGAACATTGTACTCTCGCATCTCATTTTGGAATGTACACGTTTTGAAAGGAACCTACATTTGCAGAACGTCCCGAATGCGCAAATAAGGAACATAAGGTGTTTAGGAACCCCACAAATGTTACCCTATTATTTCCGCCAACATGAAAATTGGTACACGGAAATCATTTACACGGTGTAATAAAACGTACCATATAGTACATGTGACTTACGGCCTCTTCTGCATGGTCACCTTCAACGGTCACGTATGATATGTTGTAATATTGGACATTTGGGTTTGTGTGTTCCCAGCTGACTTGGAGGGCAGTTGGAGTCTTGCTGTCTATCATAAGGTTTCTCGGTGGATCTCTGGAAACTAGAATGTTGAACAAGATGAACAACCAGCAAATTAAAAGGAATTTCTAAAGATGAATCAAGGTTCCTTTTTTAGAACACATGACGTTTTCTCCACGGGAATTGGTGGAGTTTCCCCTTTAAGATACTGATAAATGTCGGCAGTGTTTAGATCATCCTTTAAATCCGGGGTCTTTTTTATACGGATAGATGTTTTTATATCATACAGTATAGAAATATATTTGTAGATATAGGATGAGAGTTGTGCTATTGATATTCCCAAGAGCTGAACATTTACAGAGCCAGCGTTACCCAAGGGTAATAACTTAATGATGAAAGCAGAATCTGTCACGTTTTGTGCAACGGTTGCATTGCCTGATATACGATAACTCTACATCTTAACTCTAAGATATAGTCACTTACAAGTGTTGTAACGGACAACAATAGCGTCACTTTTAGCGGTATCATTGTAGACTGCAGCGAGCGACACTTGGTAATCAGTGTTCCCTTCCAATTCCTCTAACACGGCTGTGTCCATGTCACCTTTGACATCAAGCTACAAGCAAATAAATTGTAAGGAAAACTAGAACAAAAATGGGTAAAGTAAAAGAAACTGAAAAAGAGTAGAAAAATCTAAACGAAATATAAAATAGTCAGTTCCAGGTACAAGCTAAAAATGCGGTTTTGCTTGTTATATTCTGGGCCAGTCATTTTGAAATCCAGACTGGTATATTTCCTTTGTAGATTTGGCAAACACCATCAAAAATATTGGTATCCCCACCTCCTCATATACAAGTATAGAATATTGTTCAGGTGCAGAGAAGGTTGGCATTGCAAAGGATCTTAGAAATATAGCTAGCCCGTACAGAATATAGATATGATAGCGATGGAACAAATTCAAATGGTAAATATACAAGACAAACAGACCTCCTTCAATGTTCCTCCGCTAAGCGGGATCCATTTTATTTTATAGACAACGACATCGCTGGCAGCATGTTTCCATCTAATTGTTAAATCGTTGCCTGAAAAATCGGTGACCTTCAATTCTGATGGAGGTGGAACCTTCACTAAGGATAAAAAAAAGCACTCAAGGCTATTATCTTCCTTCATGTCAAATTGGCTCCTTTCATCACTCGTCACAGACAATTGTCAAGCAATGGATGTTGCATGTAAAAATACTTACATGTTTCAATGGTGACGGTGACTGGCTCAGACGACCCATTATCGTAAACAGAAAACGTATTTACAATGTACTTTGTGAATGAGGTCAGGTTTATCAGGACCACGTGAGTAGTGTTTCCAGTGACTACAATCTAGAAATTCCAAAACCAAAGGTAAATCCCTAACTGAAAAATTCTACACATACACTTACTGTAACTTAGACACAGATATCCACAGAATAATTATTACTGTTCTTCTGCAGGTTTGATATAGCTCCTTAGCATGTCGTCGCAACATCTCAAAGAGCTTCACAAGATTTACTGTAGAACATAGTGACTGTGTATTTTGTAGCCGGCAGCCAATTTGCCAACAACAGTGTCCCACGAACAGCCATGATGTGAATGATTGATTTTATCTGTAGGATTGTTGGCCATGATGCCAGGAGAAACTCCCTTTTCTTATTGATTAGTGTCTTGGGATCTTTAACGTCCTTTAACAGTAAGGAAAATGGGCAGCCATACTTTGTATTAAATTTGAACATGTTCTTAAGGTTCTACAAAGAGCTACAAACTCATCAAAAATACAAAGGCTTTTGTGCAATTTGAATGTGATGATATCTGAACAGAGAGTAAAGGACATTTCTGAATCCTGAGAATAATTAAGAAATTACCTAAGCAAATTCCAAGTCTTTCACACTTGTGAATTAATGCTGTGACTTGCCAACACAGTGATACATCCCCTCGAGTCCTCGCGTTGCTCAAAACCCAACAGAAAGTCTCACCTCTTTGGGATCATTCCCACTGGTTGTTACATATACAATGCGATGCCCTTTCACTTTCCTTGAAGCAGGCTGCCAGTTAACCTGAGCACTGCTGTGACTGACATCAGTGACATGCAGTTCTGCTGGAGGGTTTAGGGGTACTGCAAGTAGATAAGATAAAATTGTATTTGAAGCAAAATAATCAAACGATCAAGTTCGAACTTACTTATCACAGATATATGAAGACCAAGTCATTTGGCAAAAATGCACGTTTGTTCCATGGCCAACTAGTTGGATCATTTTGAAAAATCAGCATTTCCTAACATTTATTAATCCGCGATTTTACGACTTATTTGATGTAGTATATGGTGTATGGCCAGGATAGAGTGGTAGAGCTCTGTATCCTCATGTATTGTTTCAACTAAACTGAGCTATGCAAGGAGGTACATAAATTTCCAAAGAGAGACACCGGATGAAACCAAAGGTTGTCAGGTCAAGTCACTCCCCACAGAAGCTATCATTGATAATAAGCAGAAATAGGAATGGTTCACCCATCTGTCTCCTCAGTCAGGAATGGAATAGGGAGTGGGGGGTGAGGGTAGGGGGGGGGAGTGAGAAGATACACTTTACGTTAATGAGATTGTTCAATTGCAAAACCCACGCAAGTCAACAAAGCAATTGATCAGACTCACGTGTTGCTTGTTGTGTGGTCACTGGTTCACTTGCATCCTCTCCGTACAATGCATAAACTGTGACAATGTAATCTGCATTTGGAGCTAGTCCTTCAAGTTCAATCTCAGTGAACTGAGCATCGACCTTCACCTGTGAGGAGAATGTCTCCGTTAAGATACCGTGAAACCAACAGTGGTAATCACCACAAATTAAACAGAGACCTAGAACATCCTCCTTTAAAATTCATGAACTTCATCACACGACTGATTGTCAGACATATTGCTCGTCACATTAGAACAGGAAGACTCGACTCAAACTGTCTCCGCTACCATCTCATCTACCGTACGGTGCTGTTTGCCTGCCTCTGGTGTTATTTTATTTAAAAAGTGCAATCAGAACAGTGATAGGAATCTAACGATTTAATCGCATAACAGATCATCAACAACAGCTTGTATCTCTGTAGCATCTTTCACGTAGAGGAACATGTATCAAAGCTCTTCACCGAGAATAAGCTGGGCACTGAGCAGGGAGGGTGGAGGACAGAGGTGGCTGTAGACACAGTGGGGACCCGGTGGCTGAAAGCCCAACAACTTGCATTTATACAGCGCCCCCTCACACAGGCTAGCGTCCCAGAGCGCTTGTCAGTGGCAGAGCACCACGGTGATGGGTGGAGGGAGGGTCACACGTTTTGTAAGTTACCTCTTTTCCCTCATCCGCCTCTGCACCAGAAACTTGTTCGTACAGAACCATGTACTGAGTGGAATCTTCCCTGCGTTCCCACTTGACTCTCATACTGTTGTGTGTGACGTCGAGGATCGTGAGATTGTCGGGAGGTGGGAAAGACACTGAAGTCAAATTGGAAAAATGGGAAAAAATCAAATGAAAACCTTTACAACAAGATATGCAACTTTTGTGAAAAATAAAGTAGTAAACGAATGGAATTGAACTTTAAATGATGTTAAGATGGAAAATCAATCCTTCAAAGGCTATTTAGTCACTGTTCATTTATGCTGGGCTGTATGTCGGAAAGATCGCTGGCTTGATAAAGCGCAATCTTGACACTTCTTACAAATATACAGTACTAGATTACTTATTACCAACAAACATGACTTGTGATTCATTTTGGTATTAAGGCTGCATCTTACTCAGTAATATTTTGCAGCAAATCTGTTGGATTTTTTTGCGCTATTTGTAAGCTTTTAAACATATAAAATCTGTCTGCTTTTCTCACAAAATTGTTTGTTTCATATGATCCGATTTGATAGCTTGCATTTCCCACCCGCTGAAGAAGGCAGTTTGCGCATAAATATAATTACAATTCACTTTTATACAGAGTCTTTCCTGTTGGCAGGACATCTCAAAGTGCCTGAAAATGCCATCTTGCTGAAGGCTAAAGTGCTTTATATCGCTCTCTATTGGACATTTTAGGCTAAAAACATCACACATATAGTTTACTCCAGCCACCGGTTACAGCATTTCTCTTAGAATCTCTGGGATTGTCTCACATTAATGCTGTGTGAAGCTCAGTGCATTTGGAACCTACGTGTGGTTTCGATGCCCCGGAGGCCCTCACCAGCCTTGTCTTCATAAATCGGGAAAACAGCAATTTGGTACTCGGTCAGTGAATGCAAATTGTCCAGAACTACAGAGGAAACCGTTCCATTCACAATCACCTGAAAAACCAAGAAAAAAAATCCAAACCGCAGGCTTATATAACAGATCTAAGACACACGCCAACACGATAGATGTTTGTAGCGGAATTACTCTGATATATACATACTTTTTAAATTCCCCCCCCCCCCCAATTGAGTTTGCTTGGCATTTCCTGTTCTAATACGCATTTCGTAAAGGTTCAGCGTGACATTTATCACATCAAAACCATTTTTTCACCATATTTAATAATTCCCATATCAATCTTAGATCCCTTCAAAATCTCTAATTCGGCTACAAACTATTTCCCACTTGGTTTCTGGTGACCAGCATCATGTCAGGCTCAGTTGCCTACACAAATGAACAGGCAGCTTATATAAGAGCAATAGCTGTATGACGTCCATTGAAAGATACCCTTTATTTTTGATACGTGGTAGTTTGGTAGCTGCCAGTGAATCAATAACTCACACTGTCATTTAATATGAATGTAAAATAATAATAATCCTTGCATTTGCTACAGCGCCTTATCACATCTTTGCGACATCTCAAAGCTCAGCACAGAATATGCTGTAAAGCGAATTGACTGTATATTTTGAGGGCGAAACATATCAAAAGTGGTTTCAGTAACCTGGTTTGTTAATATAAAGATAAGAATGTCATTCGGCATTTTATCCATGAAGTTAATTAATCTGTCTTTGAATTTGATTTCACACTGCAATGAATTAAAAGGGAGAATATTGCACTCAGAGGCTTTTGGTTTTAAAACAATATAACTCTCTACCTCCTCAGGCTTATCCCCTTTGGTTGGATAATACACAACACGGTAAATGTTTGCTTTGTTCGTGCCTCGTGTCCAGCTGACTCTGAAACTCCTTGGAGTTATATCTGACAGAACCAGGTTTGTAGGATTTGGGTGAAAAACACCACCGGTGTCTGCTTTATTGAGTCCACCTGATGACAGAAACAAGACAGGAGTATCTTACATTAAGAAGATTACCGCATTCATTTCAAAAGAGAATTCATTGATGTCTGTTTCTTTGTTGGCAGCAGACATTAATGATAGAGTTGCGTTTAGCATTTTTAGCCCCTATTTTCTCCCCTCTGCCTTTTCAGCTGGACCAGGTCATCAGTGGTTTTAAGTTTCCATCACAATTTAAAGTGCAGGACCTGATTCCACCAGCAGAGGGGATGAAGAATTGAAAAAAAAAACACATGTAATAGAACTTGCCACAAATCTCAAGCGAACTCAAGTGCTGCTAATCACTCGAGGTGTCAAACCGAACTCACGAACGTACAAGCTGTGTTCCCAGATGTGAAAGGAAACCATTTCTCAATGAATGGTTTGTACCTTTAAGCTAATTGTGAACGGTTAAAGCAAGTGAAGTGCTGTAAACTGCCCGGTGGATTTCGAATCCTTACCAATTCAGCTTACATTTCAATTCAAGGGAAATAGAGTGGATTGAGTCAACGCATATTCTGCCCTAATATTAGCAGCAGACTTCATGCGCCTTTCCCCGGTGTTGCTAGATAATGTATAGAACATTGCCGAAAAGACATTAAGAAGTTACCAAAGTATCACACTAGAAAGTGGTCGTTTCTAATCGAGGTTAAGTTGTAATCTTTCAAGAAAGATAGCGAATGTTACATGATTACTTTTCATTTCGACGGCTTTTGCCTTCATCTGTGCACAAAGAATCTTTTTGAGCCTGTCGCTGAGCGAGTCGAGAAACCTGAAGTCGAAGACGTAATGCACGTGGAGTTCGAGTGGATCCGAAGCGATCTGTTTCAATTCTGCTTCATTGGCGTTCTTCACACCTGGAAAAGAAATAAAGACAAGAGCCTCATCAGCTAATATCGAGCAGTGCCTGACAGATTCATCTTGGTTCAAACCTTAATAATCCTTACATTTGATATAGTTCCATATCACGTCGTAGAGACGTGTTAAAGCACTTCACGGAATATACTTTAACTTTAAGTTGACTGCACATTATTATTAAAACCTTGCACTCATCTCAGTGTCCGAGAAGAATTAAACCCTTATTACCATTGGGTAGTTTGATCTTTCTACTCTAATCAAACTTGAATTTGTTCCTGCTCTACCCTCTTTGTGTCCCACTGAACATTACTTTGGAAAGCAGGGGCTCTCACACCTTGACCAATGCCATTGGGTAACCAGAGACTTGAGTGCACTTGAGGGCATCAAGCATTCACATGTTTCCATCACTTCCACCGGGCAACGATTGGTTTCCAGTGGACACTTTGGTCAAAGGTACAGCTGGAACTCAGTGATCTAATCAATCCTTCCAGAATACCCACTGTGGGTATCACAGCACCAAGTAGTTTCTTCTTATCTAAGTATATTCTTTAAGTGTATTCTGACATGTACTGCTGTGTGGAGCAGCTTATAGCAGAGGCCAATGTTAATATTTTATTCGCCGTAATAGATTATATTTAAAGAAATTTATGTTTTATGTATTTAAATAAATTTACGTTTTATATATGTCCTTAAACCCAATCCGACTATGGTATTTGACACTAAATTTGAACTGTTTTTAAAACAATCACGCAACTATTCACTATATTTTAGAGTTAATACTTTCTCCAGGCTAAAGTAGAAGCATATGTTCCACCAATTTATGCTGCAGATTGTTTCTTTCAATGTCTCACATGCTCTGGAAAACATCGAGTAGCTGGTTATATAGCAGCAGTTATCTGAATAAATGACAGCACACAGGTAGAAGCACATAGTCTGAAGTATCACATCAGTGTTCAATTATATGGAATTCAAGGGGCAAAAAATATAACGAGGAAATAGTTATTATTTTCAAATTCCACATACTATCATAATTCAGTCAGCACAGAATTTCTCCAATTCGACTGACGCTGCAAACTTTATTTTATTGTCTCAGTTTAGGTGATTCCAAGCTCGACCAGTAATTCAAAGCAAAATACATACTAAAAGAGGGTGAGAAATAACAAATATTGAAACACTGAAAATGAGCAATTATTATACAGATATTTAGTCATTTGTTTCCTGTCAATCACTGAATGTCAGTCTGAAATCGAGGAGGGATGTGTGGCAGACATTCGGGTCAATGTGACATTATATCCTCGAGAATGAATGCACGTTATTGTGGTGTTGCTGCCGAATGGGTGAATAATGCACGTTTCAGTTTTCCCACTGTGATAGAGTTGCAAAGAGCTATACACACCGATCGCGAAAACTTCCACTCCGGCATTTTTCAGACGTTGAGCTGATGGGTTAACGTTGTCCTGTGATTTCCCATCAGTAAGCAGTATCAGAAACGACGGAGTATCCAATCTAGCACCTGCTAATGGCTTCAGGTTCTTTTCAAAGACGTGATTCAAGGCAAGAGCTAAAGAAATGAACAGAGTCAAAGAATGAATAGACTTGTGGAAAGCATCAGTGGTCGGGTTTCACATTCTCTTTCTCCGGATAACATTTTTTATAAAAATATAGTCAATCCACTTGTATACAGGATATCATATGAAGCGCTTTGAGGCGTCTCAACGACACGATAAGGCGCTATATCAAATGCAAGGATTAGTATTATTCTTATTATTTTCATGAGCAGATAACATTAATTATTAACAAGGTTCGCTCATACGTTCATAAACCTATAAACCACTGTCAGACAAGGTAACAATCCTAACGCGCTGGTCTGGTTCAGATCCTAAAACAAACAAGAACAAAGCTACTCAGGTGTAGACAGAGCTCTTAGTTATGCAATTAAGAGCCATAGCTTTCGGAATCTATACCTGTGTATGAGTTGCCTCCTTTGTAACGAAGATTGCGCACAGCTTCCAGCACTTCATTCTTGGTAGAATAAGCAATCAGGTCCCACTCCGTCCTTGGCTTTCCACTATATTGAGTCAATCCTATAAAAAAGACAGGTAGCCTTCAACAGTTTGTTGCCATTTCCTGCACGTCACACGTTTGTCCATGTCACATTTTCACAAAAAAACGCTGAGAGGTTTGCAATTTGTTGCATTCTTACTTTGTTATTTTTGTAATATAAAATAAAAGCTAAGTTTAAACTATAACCCTGTTGAACCACATTAGACATGTCGCTTATTCAACCCCATTGGCTTTACATTTACAAGACGTAAGACCTTATCTCTAGCCTAGAAGTAAATGGAAAAGGAACTAAAAGGAAAACACTGATAGAGCAGTTTACTAAAATGAGCCCCCAAAAAAGGGATATCGAGCACTTACCTATTCTTATTTCGTTCATAGCAACATTAAAAGGCGTGATCAAATTTATTAAAAACTGCCGCATTAATCGGAAGTTGTGTTGGCCAATACTCCAAGATCCATCAACTAGAAAGATGACATCTGCAGGTCCTGTCGCCTGGCACTTGAATCGGGATTCTGCCAAGTCATAACAGTGATGATTATTTATGATTGTATTCTGCTGCTGTTACTTTACCAGTATCTTTCGCCCACAAAATCTGCAGTCAATTCACTTTACAGTATACCGTAAAGTGAATTGAAGCGCTTTGAGATGTCTCAAAGACGTGATAAGGCCCTATATCAAATGCAAGGATTATTATTATTATCTTAAGAGAGGATAATAATGATAATAATAATAATTCTTGCATTTGATATAGCGCTTTTCACGTTGGGAGGACATCCCAAAGCGCTTCACAGAACACACTGTAAAGTGAATTGACTGTATATTTGTGGGCGAACGCGGCAGCCATTTGCGCACAGCAAAGTCCCAAAAACAGTCATAGATTGAAAATGACCAATTTATTGTTTTGGTTTTTGGAAGGATTATTATTAGGTGTGTGGAGTAAGGAAACTTGCCCAAGGTTTCGCCCTCTGCCTGGAATTGAACTCAGGTCTCTCGCTTGCAAAGCGAGTGCTCTAACCACTGAGCCACAGGACTCCACAAATGGGCTATGTTTTTAGTGATTTTTCATGAGTGGAGGGATGAGGGCTTCAAATTTTACTACCACAATGCACAAATTAATAAGCGTTGAAGTAGAAATGTTCAAAGTAACCAAAGGCTTGGACATTTCTTTCCCAAAGGTACATCAGTGACCTCAGACACAGCCTGACTTGTTCAGGGGCACTCAGGATGGTTTGACATGGAGCATTCTTAGAATTTTCTGGTTTTTTTTTGTAGTGATAAATTGAAGTGGAGAAGGACCCTCTACTCAAACCCAAACCCAAACCAACATAAAATGTGGAACAGCTGCCTCCAGGCTTTACATCTGCAGCTTCAGGAATTTGGGATGAAGTAATCCATATGAAGCCAGGCAAAAGCAAAGTCATTCGGTTGCTTTTCTCTTCTTTTTGTATCACTCTTGTGGCTATAACATGGGATTGTAAACCGCTTTATATAGTGCTTCGGATCGCTTGAGCGGGAAAAAGAGAAAGGAGGGGAAGTATCATTCATGGCCCTTTTAGCTTTTAGTTGATCTTATCCCTCTGTTTCAACAGACGAGTGTGTGAGATCAAACAATATTCCTCTTAAAGGTGCACAAGCGTTCTGAGACTCTACCCCATGTGAAGGACACTATATAAATGCTTGTTGTTGATGTAAGCATTAGGACCACTAATAGGGATGAAGCTGTCGGTAATCCTACACCTAATATACAAACAGCAATCCCATACAGTCACACTCATGCTATACGATCATTCTAAAAGATACATTACACAGACGATCCTTACCTTTGTCTGTGACTTCTACAGCTGAACTTTCTTTGGGCGGCTTTTCTTGAACCATCTTTCTTTTATTTTCAGACAGAAGTTGTGTTGTATTTTTCATTTGGGAAACTCTTCCGCTCTCATTAGCAGGGAGGCTGGTTGCCTGCTTCACTTTACTCTCCTCTGTCTTGTCAAATGATTTTCGTCGTTCCGAACCCTTTCCTGCAGTTAAATCAAAGTAACTTCCTTACAGCAACGTTTATTTTAAGAATATTAATGTAAAAAAAATGCATAACGTAAAATATTAAAATACATAATGTCAAAAAAGTCAAATAATTTATTTGAAAAAATTCCCATTTCACCTACTAAATATACAGTCAATTCACTTTACAGTATATGCCGTGAAGCGCAATGAGACGTCTCAACAACTTGATAAGGCTCTGTATCAAATGCAAGGATTATTATTATGACGCTGAAAATGGGGATGGTTCACAAAGTACATTCAATATGATAATTATACAAGCTTTCATTTTTTCACGCCAAATTATCTTCCCACTTCTCATGAGGGATGTATTTAACATAAATTATACCTCGTTTTGATGGCACGCCATTCAGTGTTCCTGTTTGACCAGGCTCCGTCACATTGCCTGGAGGAATATTGAAATCGGATCGAGTACCGTTCTCACTCGCTGTGATACCAATCTCCCTTTGTTGTTGCTTACGTTGCGAGGCTTTCTTCGAATGCTCTTTTTTTAGGACATTGACTGAAAGGAAAATACATGCCGCTCACTAATAGAAATCTCAACAAGCAAAATCTGCCCAGTAACTCAGTCTGGCTATTACAATAAAGATCTCAGTGGATAGAGAAGGGGAGCTTCGTATAGGCTGGCAAAGTCAACTGCCAAAAGGTTCAATAAAAAAGCAAACCTTCAGTCCATCTTGGACTCCCAGTCAGCTGTTTGAAGCACCTTGATATACTCACCATATATGAAAAGTGCTACGTTAATGTAAATTGTTGAGGGTTCATATTTTAATTAGTATAATATACCTCCATGCCTGGAAAAAGCTATCCCTGAAATATAAGGAACCTAATTTATTTCTAAGCTATAATCAAATGGGCATAAATGGAAATTGACATCACTGTCCATTGTGAAGCTAATTAAACAAAATCTAATTTATTAACGACATGGTTACAATTCTGACAATTAATGGATCTCTGGTTTAAATTATCCTGCACTTACGCATTCAATTTTATAAAGCTCAGCCCATTCTCAATATTTTGTTAGAGGGGTGGTATCATGAGCTCAGTATCTGTTCTTATTCCTCACATTATCTGTTGAATCTATGACAATGTTGCCTGCAGTAAGTCATATCAAACAGATTAAAGGATTTCAGAGGAGATCAAGGATTTTGATCTCAAAAGGATTTTGATTTCAGTAAGGGATCCTTTGAATGGAATCATTTCAAAAGTCATCTCCTGTATTGTAGCAGGAGTTTCAAATGAAACTCTTAAATATTTAATCCGTGTAGCACTGGTCATTCAATTATTGCTTCTACTTTTAAAGGTATGAAACGGAATTAACTCTTCGAGCACCACAGATGAGTTCCCCAATTACTAGCACTAAGTTTTTTTTGTCCTGTAGTAACATTCACTGGGCTGGTTTGAAACACTCCAAGCATTAACCTAGTGGAATCTATGATGTGTCGCAAGTGATTGTAGTGAAGAATCTTTATATTGGTTCTTAACGGTTTGCAAACCGCTTTACCTCTACGTCAGCCGTAATTCATCAGAATTGTTAAAATACTTACTAACGAACTTCCTTTTGGCATAGTGGCTTTCTCTGGTTCCATTCAGTAGTAGAATGTGGAGTGTGTATTCTTGGGTTGGAGTCAGACCTACAACAGTCGCTTTGGCTGTATTTGTCTTCAGGATTATTTCCTGTTCAGTAGCACCTTGTGATTGAAACATTGGTGAGGACAGAATTCAACGTGGAACATTTTCACAAGTCAGTAGCTGTTCAGAATTCTTTTATATTAGTGCAATCCAACATTTTTAAAATAAATGAATAAAGCATCAAAACAATGTTCTGTATGTCTGAATTCTGATATCAGAAGTTGTTTGTAATGGTATCAAAGAATCAGTCAAGTAATGAACTCTTTCATAATATTAAAAAAAGATAATGATATAATAACCTTTGCATTTTGTACAGTGCCTTTCACGTTGGCAGGACATCTCAAAGGGCTTCATAGGATTTACTGTAAAGTGTAGCGACTGTGTATTTTGTAGAAAATGTTGCATATCGGTGAATGTTCTGGATATTGATGAAAATAGGCCTAAATACAATCCTGTAACAAGTAGCCTTCTATTTTTTGATCTGTATTAATGAAATGTGCAGGTAGCTACGGGTGTAAAGACATTCAACCCACAGAATCATGGATGGAACTGAGTCAATGTAAAACCTGCTCATCTCACAACAAACAGAAACAATCGCAATGTTCTGCCACTTTCTTCCATTGATGTTTTGCTGTCTTTTCGCCAGCAGTTCATCTGCACAAACATGTAGCACTGTTTTGGCAACCTGCCTGAAGAGCATTTTTTGAGATATTTGCTTTCGTTTTGGCATGAATCCAAACTCGAAATTCGCAGAAGGGTGTTATTATAACCGACATCATGACTGAAAAATGAAATAGTGACTTCAATCTGTGAGAATTCCAGTAACATACCAATCCGTTCAAAATATTAATTGGGCCACATCTTATATTTTCCACCTTCCCTTAGGGAAACATTACAATATTATTGCTCTAACAAGTACTTGGATGACTTTGTGAAATGATAATTTAAAGATAGAATCAATCTCTGGACTGAGAAATATCATGAACTAAACTGGATGTCTATGATTCATATTCTGTGCCTTTTTACAAGACACGCATTTCTTTCAATGAGACTCTGGGATGAAATTGAACCAAATTCCAAGAGACTTTTCTGTCCAAAGTTTGTTTTGGTTCCAACAAGTAGCAGGTTGGAAACTTCCCCGTCAGCTACAAATGAGGAAGAAATTCCTCCCGAAACACAGCGGCATTAGGAAAGGCAAACATCAAATGTCTTATTTTTAAAAAATCCGGACTAATTGCTGAACTCTCAAACAGGATGGCAAGTGTAGGGACGGGCGTGGAATTGGCTTGAAAATGGAAATAAACCTAAAGTTGCACATATGGAATATTATTTGCATATAGCACATCAAATATATGGCATTTCAATGTTTCTTGCTTGAAATGTCAGCCAAAAGAATGGAAACAGAACTCCCTCCCCCACCATCCCGTTTGTAAGGGCAGATACTATGGACCCACCATCCTTGTTGAAAGCAACATGAAACTATTTGCACCTGCTACCCACATGCTTTCTGTAACTCCATCCCCGAGTCCCTGTGACTCACCTCCTTCCTCCCCACTTTCAAAGCCTGCCTCAAGACCTACTTACCTGTTTAACCACACTTTTGGTTATCCCCCCACCCACACACCCACACACAGCTCGGATGTCCAGCCAGCTTTGTATTCTATTTCTAAACCAGTAAAGAGGTTACTGTCTGGTTTTCCCGTTCCAAACATTCTTTACTATTGTAAGTCTGTGTAGTATGTTTTGCTGGAACATATGATTTCATACGTGACTGAAAGCTTTTTCCGACGTGCTTTCATAAATAACCAGAGTTACCTCCTGTCCTCTCATTACAGTATCTTAAACATCAGGAGGACGTCGCAAGATGCTGGACAGTCAGGGATTTGGACCCGAGCAGAACAAGGATAGATTACTTCACAACTGCAAAAAGAAAAGCTTCCAACACCCACTTACCCGCTGAAGGCTTGACTCGGACTTTATATCCCTGTTTATTTCCATCAGCTTCTTTCCATTTCATTTGCAGCCTGTCTTCAGACAGAACTGTTAACTTCAACTTGCCTGAGAAGCAAAACAAAAGAAAGTTGCAAGAATCTCACTGAAAGAAGTTGTACAAATAATAACGTTACAAAAGATAACTGCAGATAATTTAAATTGGCTTAACAATGAAAGCTTTGGACGTTCCTTAACTTCGAATATTTCTGAAAAAAATCGCAGTGACTTCAAACCCAATTTGAATCTGATTACAAGGGACTTATCTTACTTCACAATCCAGTATAGCTAGAATTTTTTGATACTGAGACTGCTATCTTCAGCAAATCCACATCTCCATGCTTCATGTTGCTCAGCCATTCGATCCAAATGTTATCATCTTCTGCCCTTTCCATCTGCTGTCTAATATCTCAAACATACATTTTCTGAGCACAAACACTGCATTTAAGAATTCAGTGTTTTCAGTGAGATCTGGCAACTTGAGAAGCAAGATAAAAGAAGACCTGACATTTTATGTTGCTGGTATCAAAAATACTTGTGAATTGTTCAGTAAAATCCTCCTGTGAACTAACGGCAACTCATTTAAGTCAAATCAGCTTGCTATTTTCGGCCTATTCCAATGTGGTGGTTCAACAATAAATCAATGGTGATAAAAAAGATTAAAATATTCATATTAGTTTCATTGATCCTTATTACCAGAAGCATGAGTGAAGTTAACATCCCCACATGTTACAGTATAATACAGCACTGTACCTAACAACTACATCTTTATTGTAGCACATCATGATGAATGAGCTCCAAGTTTTGCTAAATGTACCAGCTGTGCTGATACCAGTCCGCTCACTGGGACAATTGCTTTTTCATCAGTGATGGATTTTCCCCCCGCCCTCCCTTAAGAAAAAAACTAATTTGCAACCGCTGGTATTATCTTTGTTGTGGTAAAACAAAGTAGCTACTATTCCAGACAACGGGTTAGAAAAAAGAATTATGGCTACTTACTACTGCCGTAACCCTATCGCTTTAGCATACAGCGACAAATTGCATTTAAAGAATGCGAAGCAAAATATATACAAATTCAACACTAACTTTTCCACGTTATTTAATTTAGACAAAGCATCAGTTACTTTTACCAGCTTGACATCAAAATGGCATTGGTATTCGGTTGGGAGATAATAAATGTTTATCGCGCTGTAATAGGAAATTTGACCTATACTGGGTCAGTCGATCTAAAAAAAAGTGCTTTGTTGTCTGGTTCCTTATTTGAATGAATACTGAATAGCTTGTATAATTAAGTACTGCCGGTATTTACTTTAAAAATCACTTTTATCTCCTATTACAATGCACGTTTTGCATTTCCAATGCTTCTCAATTTTCTTATTTCCTGTGCAGCGGTCATAAAAAATTCAAATTGCAGAATGAAAGTGAATTTTGCAAATGGAAAACTTTCGGGGTCACAAAGAAGGGCTTAGATTTTGCACATAAAACACATTTGTCTTGTGCCTCCCATGAATACAGATATTGTAGAGCTGCTAAATGGCACGGGGCACAAAGCAATATTCCACATAAATTAGACACAATAGAAGTTATTCAAATCCAACAAAACTAAAATTGTTGATATTGAACCGGTGGCCAAGAGGTTCTTTTTAAACCATAAGATCTTAACATTTGGCAACAATAATTTTGCAGCATGCCAAAATACAACTACTTTTTAAACTCATTTGTCTTTGATTTAATGCTTCGTGCTAAAATTGCACACATACATCCAGAATATAATTTTAAATGCATATTATGATTTATCAAGGATCTTAAAGGACAGACTTCAGAGATAAAGTTGGCACTCAAATTTTTTTAAAAAAGTGTTTAACATTTAAATAAATAGTCTTATGATTACAATTGAAGACATTAAGTTTTATTACCTATCAGTTACCATTACCTTTCAAACAATGGGTCAGAAGATTCTGCTGAATTTTACCATTTTATCGACATGTGCTTAGAAACTTTTAAAATAAGTACCTTTTCCTTCCACTTGCCAGATCAGATGAATCACCACTATTACGAAAGCAAGAATGAAGTTCTTTTGTTGCGTCATGATGGTGTCTACAGCGGGGGCTCTTATGAATAAACGAAAGATTCACAAACACAATTAATTCTCAACTCACTGTTCCGCAAAGTGAAACTCAGGTTCAGAACGTGAATGTTCTCCGAGCTACATTTCTTAGCTAATGCACAAAGCGAAGCCTTAAGTTTTTCTCCAGCCCAGACAGGCACAAGCTTCTGAAACTCAGCTCAGTGGGACCGTGTGATCTCTTATCTCTGTGACTCATCTCGGTTTCCCACTAGTTTTATTTCAGACTACCACCAACATTTGCAGTTTTTCTTTTTCCTTCCACCGCAGTAATTGTTTCAATATGTGGACGGAATTCTGTTCCTCTCTTGAGCAGGATTTTCCAGTATTGCATGATAATACGGGAATGAGTTATGATGTTACATTGAACTAATATGTTTTAAGTTGTTGGTGATGAATGACTGTGCTCCATCCATATTTATTGCGTTATTGAACAGAAGTCATTCACAGGAGTAAAGTGTCTTTAAATCAGCTGGTCTCTGATCTTGTTTCAGAGCCTTGAAACTGGCTGAATTATTAAAAGTACATTCGAAAATTATGCAGTCAAAGATTTTATTTATTCCTGGTGATAAAGATCTAGTGGCAGCGTGACTGACTGTTGTATTAATAATAATAATAATCCTTGCTTCTGATATTGCGCCTTATCACATCTTCGAGACATCTCAAAGCGCTTCACAGAATATATTGTGAAGTGTAGTGACTGTGTATTTTGTGGATGAAACATCAAGAAATCACTCAGAAATGCTCTGAGTTCCTCGGGAAAGTATTCACAGTCTATGGCCTGCACACCTGAAACTGTGTGGCAGAGTTTTAAAGTTAAATTCTTCCTTACTATCTGCTAGTGTTCAAACTTCCACTCACATTTGAAGCCAAGAGTCAATTTATCAAGAATTAGAGCTAAGATCACCTGGCTCTGAGCAATTGTCTAATCAGTTACTGTTTCCTAACATCTGAAATATTTTTTCCCTGAATTGGTTACTGGTTTCCAAGTTGTGAATGAGAACTTGTCTCTCCCATTCTTCATAGATTGATATATACAGAACACGGTATTCTCACCATTAAGCCCACAAAATATACCGTCAATTCACTTCACAGTGTATTCGGTGAAGCGCTTTGATAAGGCGCTATATCAAATGCAAGAATTATTATTATTATTATTATTATTATTATGAAAGATGCCTCTGGTAAATAAACCTTTGACAAAACTTTGACAAATGTCACAAATGCACACCCAGCAGCATATATTTTGAATTGTAACACAGGCTGGAACGTGCTTCAAAGAGCTAACACAAATTAACATTTGGAAGGTGTAGATAAATCACTCAAATGTTACAAGTTTTGACATCATTGGAACTGCTTGATGTATTCTGCCTTTGTAATGCTCAGGTGGAATGTTATACTATACGTAGCAAGGGATGACGTGAGAGAATTGGAGGCTAATTACAGAATTTGTAGTATAGTATTTGTATTAAACTCCTGTGCAGCACTTTGAGACATTGCAAAGATTATTATTACTTATTATTATTATTATTATTATTATTATTATTCATAGCGGGATTGAAGAACCCTGCAATGAAAGTAGACTTTAATATTTGCAATACTCTAATATTTGTGAGACGCTGCTGTGCGCAATTGGCTGCCGCGTTTCACCCACAAAATATACAGTCAATTCACTTTACAGCATATGCTGCGAAGCTCTTTGAGACGTCTCAGTAACATGATAAGGCGCTATATCAAATGCAAGGATTATTATTATTATTATTATTAGAACACGTAGTTCTCTGTGATAACCTGGATCCATTATAAAAAGCAGGAGCTCTTTCCTCTTCCCCTCACCCTATGCACAGCTCTGCTTCACAAAGCCCTGTTTTCTTCCCTTGACAAATAAAAGATCATCTTATTCACACCCATCTTAAGCTTATCTGGAAATAAAAACCAGAGAGCTATTCAGTGCACACGTGATTTATGGCTCCTTCTAACATATATGTAGCTGTGGGCTATCTGTGGGTGGTTGTGGACAGTATAGACTGAGCCCTTTGATTACCTATCAGGTTACCCAATTGTTTTCAGACGTTTACTATATATTATATCTAGTCTAGAGGGTGTTTTTCTCTTACCGGTCAAGATACCTATTGATCCAGAACCCTAAAGAGGAATGATCCCATCCTTAAGCAATCTAACTGGAGATGGTATGGTATACTGTGACATCAAAGATCTCGAATAAGGCTTTTGTCAGGAAGCACCTTGGTACAAAGCGATAGTGTGATGAAGCACTTGTCATCTTCCCTCACATGCTGCCGGTCATGAGGATTACACGACTCTACCTCTCCTCCTTTTGTTAAATTCTTCTGTTTTTGAATGCAAATTCAACAGCCTGCTTGCACACAGCAATGACTCCCAACAAGCCATGAAGAGAATGGCCAGGTTTAGCTGTGGAATCATTGACCAGGTCACCAAGAGAGACTCCCTTTTCCTTTCTTTCATCAAATGCAAGTTGTCGTTGGTGTTTTTATTCTCCCTTCTTTTATAGCAATATTTGTGGGGACGCTGCTGTGTGCAATTGGCTGCCGCGTTTCGCCCACAAAATACAGTCAATTCACTTTACAGTATATTCTCTGAAGCGCTTTGTGACCTCTCAATGACGTGATGAGGGCTATATCAAATGGAAGGGTTAATTAATAAATAATGATAATAGTCTAATAATGGCTCAATAGTCCAGTGACAGGATTTCTTTCTCTGGTATTGCATAAAAATAAAAAGAAGCCAGCAGAAGTGATCAAGGGCTGGTTACTTTAATGTTGCAGTCCACTGTGACTTAATGCCTGAAATTTCGGTTGCGATGTTCAGTTGTGAACTTGGTCCTAATTATTATGGGAGGTGTCTGTCGAGGCAGCGAAGGAATGCAAGAATAGGCATTGTTCCAGCAAGCTGTCATGGACCGCCTGGAAGCCAGGATCAGAACAAAACTGGTCCCTTCTTTTAGCCAGGAAACAACCAAAAAGTTCATGTTAATTCAGTTGGAGTCGACACTATCTTGTTGACAGCCTCAGATTCGTAGAGGAAAGCAGAGCTCCATCTGAAATAATCATTCTGAACGCAAACAAATCACCCAAGAAGCTGACATCAAGACAAACGGACTGATTTGATATTTCACAAAGTTTGCTGCTGCTTGCTGGATGCGTTAAGTGTTCTGTCGAGTGGTCACATCCCAAATCACATGTTAGAATGAAATGAAAGATAAGGAAACGCTTCCCATTATTTCCCTCTCTCTCTTACAGGGAAACCTGGCAGCTTCTGTCTGAGGCCTATTGCTGTCTGTTTCAATTCCTGTGCTGGCTTACTGAACCTACTCACAGTCACTACAATTTGTGGTAAATCCAATGAGGCTTCTAAGTTCCTTTTAAAGTAAATTTCCCAAATGCAAATGGAAACCTGAGGCTCCTTCCTAGTTTTAATTTTTAGATTGCAGAGCACTGCCCTGGTTGCTTTGTGAGTGAATAATATCATGTGGCTTGTCACTGCCTTCAAGAGAAATGGGACGTTAATTGGAAAACAATCGTAAAGCACTGAATTGGACTACCAGTGTATGATTATTAATTTCGAGATGAAAAATATCACTGTACAACAAGGTCTAAATTTCTTACTCAGAACTAAACTCTGGCAAACAGTAGCAAAACCCTTCACTTCGCTTTAAAATTACTATTTTTTTCCCCCATTACTTCTTCCCCCCAAAAATTGTACTTTTGTGAATCATTTCCGAGACAAAATGTCTGAGATGATTTATCCTGAGCTAGTAACGTTCTTCAAGTCCACAAAGGCATACTGTGATATACATTGTTTGTATGGCCTGACTCTGTTCAGTGCAGTCAATGATATTCTTCTTATCCTCATATTAACGGAACAAGGTTATTCCCCTCGAGCTTGATTCTGGATGATAATTGTTTTACACTGACAGCTGCCTAAGACTTAATATATCTGTTTGTTATAATAAAAGGTCAGTTTCCTCAAGCACACTGATGGGAATCTCACAAGTGAGTTATTGCTACTTTAGCATGTAGGCACTTGCCTATATTGTGGTCATAATATATTGAGTATTAACCAGACATAAGGAGCAGCTACATAAGGAAACTTTACATTATGAAAAGTTGGGAAACTGCAACTTTATGGGTCTCCCTGACTTGTAAGCATAAGCTCAGGGCAGAACAAATCCTTAACCTATATCAAATGCAAAAAACGTGTTCTTACATGCGTACCTGATCTACAAAAACAAATCACCTCTGCCAAAGTCGAGTTGTGTCGTTGGAAAATAATGTTTGTGCTTGTTTCTGTGTGTTCTCTGCTCTAAAACAAAATCTGGGTTTAACTTTGTGATCCTGGTGCTTGCATCCTATTTATCTGACAACTAATTAAGCACAGTAGTCAGTGTTACAATCAATTGACATTCCACACTTTCCAATAATCCTTGCATTCGATACAGAGCACCTATAATATCGAAAACGTTCGAGTCCTTCAGAGAGAATTGCTGACAAATACAGAGACTGTGTATTTGCAGCAATTTATTTTATTCATTTGCTGCAATATCTATCTTGTCACTATTCTTTCCATTCCAACATTTTTAATCATTTGTTCTTGCCTGACGAGCATTTTAATGCAAAAATAACTCGTTTGTAACTTTTTCCGTCCAGTTTCCTGTAGTTTCTCCAGAGCACTCAGCCCAACACATTGGTCATTATAAAACAGTAAATGCTTAATAATAATCCTTGTGTTTGATACAGCACCTTATCACGTCATCAAGGTGTCTCAAAGCACTTCACAGGATAAACTTGTAGAGTGGATTGACTGTGTATTTTGTGGGTGAAACACAGCAGCCAATGGCGCACAGCAGTGTTCCACAACAGCTATGGAGTGAGTGACCAATTTTATTCTTCTGCTTTAACGTATTTAATAACACAATGTAAACAGATAAATGGAACTTTTTTTCGGAAATGAAATACGAAGTGTTTAAAAAGTGGAAAATTGAAAAATATCCAGAGATGGCTGCAGGAGAGATCAACGATGCTTCTGTATTGCAAGGCAATAAAAGGCATTAACCCATGTATTGCTCTTGTAACATTTTTCTATTACAAAGATTGGAAATGGACTGAAATCCTTCTGAATTTGGGGTCATTTCAGAAGGATTGAATTTTAAGCCACTGTTTAAATATTCAGTCATTAGTTAGAATACCCATTTGAGGGCATACTGAGAGCAAACTTCCCTATTCATCCCATCTTTCTAAAAGTAATACAATAATAATCCTCGCATTTGATGTAGCACCTTATCACGTCTTCGAGACGTCTCAACGAGCTTCAGAGTAGGTATTTAATACTGGTGCCAAATCAATCCAGCCATTATTAAACACCTTTCCTCAGAGAAATGGTACGAATTTCCAATACTAATGGAACTTTTTAATAGAATTGTAATGTTAGAATACACATTGAGCTTTCCAAAAAAATTAAATTGAAATGCCAATGTGACAAGTGCAGATCATTCCCCAAGTAATACAACCACCGCTCAGGAAATTGCCAGCAAGGGTAATTTCCTTTCTTATCATGAACCTGGGAGTAACATAACTTGCTTGAACACAAAGCGTGCTTCTTACCTGATGCAGCATTGATGGCCCCCTGGTCTTGTACTGGTGTTATAATAAATAAGCAGGCGGTTTTTTTCCCTACAGCTGAGGTCAAACTGGGTGTCTTGTCAGCCTTAAATGGATCCTTTTACAACTTGGTCACTCAATATGTCATATTCCACAGAAAAGGTCGGCCGGAGAGAGTAGCTTTGAGTGGGGGGGGGAAGGATCATTAATGCATTGGGTAACAGTTCACTGTTTTGCAAACGCTATGGTTTCCAGGGGTGTGTCATACAGTCGTATATTTAGAGTGAGTCTGCCCCTCTGTGGCAAATGAGGTTGCATATTAACCCGTTCAGGCCTGGATATCCTACCTGTTCCTGTACCGGAATATCTTTCCTAAAATCAAAATGAAATTCCAATTTAAAACATTAGCTCTGTGCGGGACCTTGCTCTATCCAAGTTGGCTGTCACAATCACCTACAAATTCACAGTCACTACAATTTGGGATAAATCCTGTGAAGTGCTTTGAGACGTCCTGCGATCGTCATGAAAGGTGCTGTATCAAACACGAGGATTATGGTGATGATTATTAAGAGGTGTAACAACTTGATAAGGTGCTATATCAAATGCAAAGATTATTATTATTATTTAACTTGTGTCAAGCACCCTCCTCCCCCGCCCCAAACCGCCTACCACCATCCCGTCAAACTACAAGTTTTACTTTTCAACACAAAGACCATGAACACCCTTCAAAGTGAATACCCGTGAAGAAACTCTGAGAAACTTCGAAGCTTTGGGTGTACACATATCACCTTCAGATATAATTACAACCAGACAGTAGATTGTCATTTATTTTTGACATTGATTCCACTGGCTGGAGAAAGCTTGTCCCTAAGGCAAACAATAAGACAGGATAAAGAGAGATTATAACATAGAATAGTAGAATAGAGGGAGAGGATTAAGAGTGCTGAAGGTTCATACGGAGTATAAACCACGACACGTAATAGTTCATAATGATCCAAATGATCTGTTTTGACACTGCACAGTGTAGGTAATTCTATGTAAAAACAAACAAAAATGTTTGTTAGAAAAAAATGTTTCTTAGAAAAAAAAGGTTTCGGATGTGCATAACATTCTTTCAGTTGAGTTTGTCTTATTAACATCATCCATAGATCTGCGAAGAATTTGTTAAACCAAGTGACTTCTAGTTTCCAGTACTACCACCACCTGGTTAGGATTTGTTATTGCAGTCATTGTTCTGGGTCCACCTGAGCACAGCTGGAACCGATTGATGCGAGACTTCATCAGCTGAATCTTCCCACAAAATCAACGTACAAATTACACATAAAGACAGTGAAAGTTGACAGGAGCTTGGGGAATGTTTACCAGCAGGGTGACCAAAAAAGTCATGATACCATTTATTTTGATAATAATTACTTGATTTCTTCATCATTTCTTTCAGATTTAATTAGATTGTAATGGTATAGTATCGCGAGTTTTTGATCAAAATTGTATAAGTCGACAATTCGACCAAAAAGTTGCTATATAAGTCTATCTGCAGCATTGCATTCATCCATAAGTTGGTAAGTTACCTGCAGAATGTATCTCAAAGTCTAACAAGGTACAAACTATTAGCTTAATTCAGGGGGGAAAATCTTTTGTTACAGGCTTCTGTTACCCACTGTTTTGTTCTTGCAGTGAATTTTTATTTTCTGTTGCAGATGAATGGAGTGACGAAATGTCTGATACCAGTAACATTCCATCTGCCATGAAAATGATGACGTTCACATCAATCCTCTGGACGTCTAGATACAGTAAAAGACAATTATCAGCTCGGATATTTGAGAAAACTTAGCATTAATTGAAAGGGTTAATTCTACTGTAAAAGAAAAATAATCAAAATATAAAGCCATTAATTAAGACAACACTTATTTTATTTTAAATGTTTCAAAACTTGAATACATTAATAATATTAAAGAAAACTATATTTAGTGTACAATGCGGGTGTGGGGAGATGTTCCTAATGAGTCTAAGTTTATTATCTTAAAAGTAGCAATAGAATGCTCAGAATTTGGCAAATTCTTAAATAAAGCCTTAATTTTGAAATGGCAGGAGAGTAGGGGGTAGGAAGATGACCTAAGGCCCGGTCGGTCAAAGAGGAGGGTCTTGAGGCGAGCTTTGAAGGAGGCAAGGGAGGGAATGAGATGAAGGGACTGGGGGTTGCAGTCTCAAAGGCTGAGGGTACTCATTTCTTTAATCAGAGGAACACTTTTCTTTTACAAATATCAGTGAATTAAAACCCTGTCCTTTCTGCTAGTTTCAGACTCAGGTGGTCATGTTTTCTGTAGTGAAATGGAAACTGGGAGCTCGGCCAGTCTTTACACTTTGCCAGTAACATGCTGGAGGGAGTGATAATGTTAGAGGTTCCGATCTAGCTCAGAGTCAGCTTCCTTTCATTGGGAGCCATTACTGTGCTGCGCGGCGTTATACGGGCTAATTCTGCAGATTTATTTGCCACCTTTTGACAAATATTACAGTAAAAACAAAGTTTAGGCAGTAAATGACATGACATGGTCTAATTGCCCTAAATCAAACGGTTAAACCTTGCAGTAGTTTCTGAGCACAGTTCTTGGATGATTTTAATAAAGTTGGGAATCCCTATGAAGAATAAACAGGGGGATAATTGAAGAAAAAAACATCAATTTATGATGCAAACAGTCACGGAACGGGTGAACAATTTCTTGGCGGAAGAAATACAGTCATTGAAACACCTGATTTCTCAGAACGACAGGTTTGAGAATGTAACCAGCTCTTCGAGTTTTCAACACAAATTGTGTCACTCCACTGCTTCCATAACTTCCATCACCAGAGTGCGTGGGCCAGTCATGATCAGGTTGCTGACTGTTTTATACTCCAAATGCATTACCTGTGCACTGTTCACAGAGACAACAAACTGCCTGACCTGAGAGAAAGCAAAAAGGTTAGGTACTTTAATGTCACACCTTCAGGCATTTGTTTTCCCCACAAAATATACAGTCAATTCACTTTACAATATATTCTGTGAACCTCTTTGAGACATTTCAATGACGTGATGAGGGGCTATATCAAATGTAAGGATTATTGTTGTTATTATGATTATCGTTATTAGTCCAGTGCCATTTGGTTGAGTGAAATTTGCAGATAAATCTGCAGATTTGTTTGCCACCTTTTGACAAATATTACAGTAAAACAAAGTTTAGGCAGTAAATTACATGATATGGTCCAATTGCCCTAAATCAAACGGTTAAACCTCGCAGTAGTTTTTGAGTACAGTTCTTGGATGATTTTAATTCAGTCTTTAGTTTGAAAAGCTTTGGTTAAAAGGGGTTCAGGATTTCTCCCCCCACCCACCCACCCACACACACACAACAAGTGACTTCTCTTCACACAAGGACATGGTTAAGAAATGAAGTGACGTTCAATAAGCCTATACACAAAGGTGATTCATTGAATGCTGAATCCAAGCATTCGTATGAACAGAACCACAGTGGCAGTAACAGATTTCTCACAGAAGGTGGAGCAATGGAGAACCACAGACAGACTGAAGCTAAGCGGAAACACAGGACAATGCAATATTAAATTTTGTATAGCGCCTTTCAGGGCGGGAGGACATCCCAAGGCTCTGTTTTCGTCAGGTAACTTGGTGAGAACGTTGAGGCAGCAGTTGCGTGCTTGAGGGACAATAAGATTGGAAGTGATTCAAGAGCAAGATCTCTGGAGAACAATTTTTTTCTTCCTGCATTTTATTGCTAATTTCCTATATTTTGCTGTATGTACACACAATTAAAAATACAAACTCCCACCAAAAAAGACCAACAAAACAACTTGCCTTCTCGCTGTGTAAACAATTAGACAATTTCATAATTAAAAACCTACTGTTTAATAATAATAATCCTCGCATTTGATATAGCGCTTTTCACGTCGGGAGGACGTCCCAAAGCGCTTCACAGAACACACTGTAAAGTGAATTGACTGTATATTTGTGGGCGAACGCGGCAGCCAATTGCGCACAGCAATGTCCCACAAACAGTCGTAGATTGAAAATGACCAATTTATTATTGTTTTGGGTTTTTTTTTGGAGGGATTATTATTAGGCTCTTGTGGAGTAAGGAAACTTGCCCGAGGTTTCGCCCTCTGTCTGGAATTGAACTCAGGTCTCTCGCTTGCAAAGCGAGTGCTCTAACCACTGAGCTACAGGACTCCACAAACAGTTTACAGTCTCTGTTGAGGCAGGTCCAACGCCTCAGGATGTCTTCCCGACGTGAAAGGCACTCTAAAAATGTAATTTTGTTGTTGTCCATAATTCTCTCTATTCCTTTCTCTCTTTCTCTGAACACTACCATATTCTGACTCTCAGCCACTTTGCAAAGCAATGCGAAAGAAAGACCTCTCTCTATCCTCACTCTCTCTCTCTTTGTTGATTCACCATGATAATACAATCACTAATTTCCTCTGAGAATGTCTGAAGCTATTTCACAAGTTTAACAACCACAGGATTCTCAGTGTGAGTCGGAACCACAGAAACATTTAAAAAAAAAAAATCAGAATAGTTTATTGGAGTCGGGATTCCCATTATTGGCACGGATCTTGGAAAGCTGCCTGTATTATTCTTCTCTTATCTCAAAGCTCTCCGATCCCATTGAAAGAAATTTGATGTTGATTTTGGCCCAACTGAAACAGCTCAGTAAAATGTAAACAGCTTATGTGAACCTGTTGTCTATTGTAAATGAATTTAACTGAAGATCTGACATCCAACAGTTGGATGGATGCATATGGACAGATTAAGGTCAGGCAATCTTCCAAACTCTGTAGGGATGAGAGAGAGGCTGCAGTTTGTGTGTATGGTACAGGAAGGAGAGCCCTACACAAGCAAGAGTCACACCCAACACGTTAAACACCGTGCGCCCGTTCCATGACCCGCTCTGCTTTCCCCTACTTCCGCAACATTGCACGGCTCTGCCACTGTTATACACCGCAGGCCCCCGAAACCTTCATACACGTCTTCATTATATCGAAGCTTGGCTATGCAAACTCCTTGCATGTCGGCCTCCCCAACTGCTCCCTCCACAGGCTGCAAATCATTCAGAACTCTGCAGCCCGTGTCCTCTCACGCACCAGGCTCTGTGATCCTATCAACCCCGCCCGATTCCACTGGCTTCCCATCACACAGAGGATACAGTTCAAGATCCTGGTCCTGATCTTCAAAGCCCCCCATAGCCTTGCTCCCCCCGACCTCTCCGACCTCCTAATCTCCTATCAACCTGCCCGCTCCCTCAGCTCAGCGGGCTCCGGCCTGCTTCACATCTGCACAGTTCGGCGATTTCCCTTTTTGTTTCATGACCCAATTCAGGTTCACATCAGCCTAGCGGTGTTTGCTCTGAGTCTCACACGCTCATTAAAACAACAGCACAGGTAACTGTGTCAGCAGTTTTCTGGAATGCTGCATAATGCATCAGAAAGCAAGATAACGAAAGGATAAGTCCTCACCCGAACCAATGTACAATCAGAACAGGTTTGTCTTGAATCTGGCCCCAACTGTAAAGAAAATGAGTAAACTAATAATAATAATAATCCTTGCATTTGATATAGCGCTTTTCACATCTTCGAGGCGTCTCAAAGCGCTTCACAGAATAGACTGTAAAGTGAATTGACCATATATTTGTGAGCGAAACACGGCAGCCAATTGCGCACAGCAGTGTCCCACAAACAGTCGTGGGTTGAAATGACCAATTTATTATTGGGGGGGTTTCGTGAGGGGTTATTATCAGTCATGTAGAGTAAGGAAACTTGCCCAAGGTTTCACCCTGCCGGGAATCAAACCCAGGTCTCTCGCTTGCAAAGCGAGTGCTCTAACTACTGAGCTACAGGATTCCCAACAACCCATTCCCACTATTTCCAACACCGAATTCTACGTTGTCTAAATCTGTAAACCCATTTTGTCTTGAAGAAAAATGTTAAAGATCACACAAAAGGCTTCACTGCTTTGCAATCAGAGGCCCAAAAATTATGGTAAGAGTTGTTGTCCGACTTCTAAATTAAGGCTGAATTTCAGACATTTCCAAAATTCTGCACAATTTTCTTAAATTTTAGTGATAAACCTTGATAAATATCAGACATTTCATGTGGAGTTACCTAATTTTTTTTAAGTCGCCTGGCACTGGAGCGATGAGACCAATTGTTGAAGCCCTTGTGAATTAATTCAATATAGACGAGATATTGTACTTTGTTTCTTGATCTGCATGACCCACTACCAACCTAAGTGAACTTAACAACTGAGAAACCCAGCCCTTCTGCCATACATCAAGATCCTATTGATGACATAACAGCCTGGCTATTAGCAGGACTTGGAGGGACAGGCGAGTCACTTGGGGCAAGGATCCTTTTCACTCGACTCCAGTTAACCCAACAAGTCCTAATTCGCAGGCTGGTCCTTGCTGGGCAAGTAGTGAGGCGGGAGCCTTGTCACACAGTATTAATACTGGACCAAATAAGAGCCTTTGGCAAACATTCTCTCCGTACACAAATTAAAGCAACAGCAAAATGTCCCAGCGAGTGAGCAGAACTCTCAATAAACTTCATAACTTCTCATACTGCACTTTGAAACTTGTTAAATCTTAATAGTTTTATATTCTATAACCAGCATTTAAATGTTTAGGCAGAATTGTTAAAGATTACCTTCTGCTCTTTTACAGCCCAGACTTATATGTTTTAGTTTAAAAACTTTTCATGTTGGACAAGACTTGACCTTGGAAGGTAAATAGAGTGAATTAGTTAGCAGGTAGTCAACCAAATTGATGTCAAACTACAGTATAAGTCTTGTAAACCACAAAGTTTGCCTTAATTACAGTGTCAATCTTGTAATGTATTCAGAAAATGGCAGTAGTGGATTGTTACTTTGACCACAGGTCTTTAGTCCTTCAGTCAATGTGAGAGCTAAGCAACATGAACACTGGTGATTTTAAGTGACTTGGACACGTATTAAATGCTCTTGAATTCTAACTGAAGTAGTTATTCATTTTATTGTGAATCTGGGTTTATAAGTGATGCGGTGGTAAGGGGGGTGGATTCTATTGGTGCCTGGTACGAGTGATTAGCCCTGGGTTGTACAATACCTTTTATGTCAGTTTGCATGGTTACCTCTTTGCGTCAGTTAAGTCAAATGAGATTGTCTATGTGGCATTCCTTGAGTGAAACGCACGTGAAATAGCTCCTGTTTAACACTATGAGCACTGTGGCAGGATCTCTGCAGCAAAACTCAATATGCATAGTCATAAAAATGATGATGATGATAATAATAATAATAATCCTTGTGTTTGATGGAGCACTTTACCACATCGTCGAGATGTCTTGAATCGCTTCACAGGATTTTTCCATAACATTAACTTACAAAGTGAACAACAACAAGATTACATTTGTATAGCGCCTTTCACGTCGGGAGGACGTCCCAAGGTGCTGGACAGATTACAACATTTCAGAACGTTCACTTATGTCACTTAACAGTAGAGAGACATCCTCCGTGCATTCAATGAGAATACAGCGACAGAAAGAAGAAGGTCAGCTTCAATTGCGAGGGGAAATCAAACCGAGGGTTTCCGTGATCATTGACCTGCTCTACACGCTTTGTATCTGACTCCCTCCCATCGCTGCTGGGGAAAAGGGGGAGCGGGGCAGTGGGGAGGGTGCGGGTGGGGTGAAGAAGAACTCTTCCTGCCAACTGCTGGGTAGTGAATCAGATTACAACCACAGTCACAACTTCCCATTGTAAATGCCAGTGGGGAAAATCTCACCGGTCGGGTGTCAGTCAAAATCCTCACGTAATTCTCTTGAAGTTGTGTTCAAGTAGAGAGAGAGAGAGAGAGAGACTTACCTTTATTCCGGCTGCAGCAGCTGGTCCTCCTGGGTCAACCGCCTGAACATGGCACGGTCTTCCTCCTCGCACCACAAAGCCCCAGCCCACAGCGTCGCCCACAATCTGCCAATGTCAAGAAGAAAAAAAAGTTATTTTATTACAGCTATTTTTTTTCTGGCGGGGAGGCGGAATCAATACAGCACAATATTGAACCGAATACCCGATTAATAAAAAAAAGTCAAAAGAAAATCCTTGCGTTTGACATCTTATTACGTCTTCTAGACGTCTCAAAGCGCTTCACAGGATCCGCTGTAAAGTGCACTGATCGTATATTTGTGGGCGAAACGCGGCAGCCAATTGCGTAGAGACAGTCATTGGAGACATTGACAGACATTGGAGTGACCAATTTATTTATTTTTTTTGGCAAGGAATTATTACCCTCAGAAAAAAATGAGTGATATATTGTATGTTATATTTCAGCGCCTTGGGAAGTCCTCCCGATGTGAATGGCTCTATAAAATGCAATTTGTTGTTATGTATAATTATGTATTAAAACACGGCATATGTTAAAAGCTTGCCTCTCACTCCCCCAACTTCTCCATCGCCCCACCTCCCCAGCTCAGGTGCCCAGGTGTGTAAAGCGCTTTGAAATGTCCTCCTGACGCGAACCTTGTATTGTACGTGTCGTACAAAGGTATTAGTGCCAATCTAAACACCGCAGCTATTTCTATTCTAATATGCCTGTTGTTGTGCTCTCTGGGGCAAAGACATGTTACTGGGTAAGAAGTCTCCCAAAATATTGCGAGTTGTTGAAATGTGCAAAGATATGAGCACAATTAAAAGTGCGCAGCTGGTGTGTGACAACCAGAAAGGTATCTCATGGAAAATTCCATTTGTCAATAAACACATGACGACGTGGAGGGAGTTAAGCCAATTTTTTTTCAGTTGACTGTACGTCTATTCAGGCAAAGAAAGGATTACAGCAAAAAGATATTCTACCTTTAAACTCTCAGTGATCCATGGATAGAGAAAGAATGTGAAAGCTGAGCAGTTCTCAACGACGCTAATGATAAGGAATTGAGTGTCGTTAAACAGCTTGGCTTCAGCTGCAAAGTTTTAACGTTCAGCCCAGATTGGAGGTTTAAAGGTCACGCCAATGTCATGAAACCATTTTACCTGCCAAGATTATTTCGTCAGCAACGACAGACATCTCTCGGGACTCCTTCAAGCTGGAACACATTTTTCTTATTCTCCATATTTGTACAAACAAATGTGGTCAAGTGTAATATTCTCTCGAATGCCAACTTCACAAGCTAGCGCAAATCAAAGGCAGCCTGTTTAGTATTTGCTCTATCAATGCCCTTTGTAATAAGACATTTTGTCAATATCTGCACAAGCCGCATAAAGACATGGCCTCTCCCTGTCCTCTCCACTTTCAAAACCCCACCTCAAGACTTATTAACCGCACTTTCGATCATATTTCCCATCCTCACCCTCTTCAACTCACACTCCCAGGTTGGGTGCTTAGCCAGCAGTAAAAAGTGCTTGAACAACAGCAACTTGTATTAATATAGTGCACTTCATGCGGGGTAGTGTCCCAGAGCGCTTGAGACAACCTGTGGATGTGAAAGGCATTATATATAAATGTAAACTGTATTGTATTTTCGGTACACATAATTATTTGTGTCTTTGTTTCAGGGATGACATGGAGAGGTTAAATTCATGTCCTGTCAATTTTTTATTCAAAATTCAATTCAATGCGGAGGCGAAATCCTTAGAGTCATCTTCTATCCAGCTCCAACATCAAAGATGTTATTTCTGGCAATCAGTAGTCACTGTTAGGCCATTATTAAGTCCAGGGAAATGTAGGTCGCTAGATCCCAGGGGATAGAATCAGTCCATTATTTATGTTTTGTGTATTTGTATATTTGTGTGTGTAGGTTTTAACGGGGCTTACCCGAGGGGATTTCCATTCACGGGTCTGGAACTATAAGCATCAATGAGGAAATGGTCATGAAGTTTCATCGATATAATACAGTCAAAGCTGCAAATGCAAAGCTCGGTTTGGAATGAGACACCACTTGGCTTTTGAAGTAGGTAAAATGGGGCCGCAGCTGTCAATCCCCAGCTATACAACCGAACCAACACACATTATGATACTGCCTAAATATTTATATTAATTTCTCCATTCAACTGAGCGATACATTACTGCAAGAGTGGGGGGGGGAGGGAATAGTTCTGATTCATTAAACAACCAATCCCTTTGCCTTCGTGACACAAACATGCAGGCGAATCTTATTAGCAATTTTATTTGCTGGTTGGCCAGATTTTCTTCTATTAATTAGAATGTCTTTGTCATATCTGAGGTCCTGTAATCACAGCATCAAGCTTGGCCAGTTCCTCAATCTGCGGCATTCACTTCACCATCGTATCCGGACCCTGGTTTTCGATCGTGCCTTCAGTCACCCTCCTAACTGTCCATCTTCCCTCATCCCAACCCTGCACCCCCCACGCGCGGGTCCTGATCCCTGACTGTTCAGTGCCTTGGGACATCCACCCCACCCCCAACGTGAAAGGTGCTTTACAAATGTAATTTTGTTGTTTGATGTTGTTGTTGTAGTGCAATCAAAAGAATCTGTTGCTGGCACAGGTGTTATTGAAGTAGGAAGACCCAAACGGGATTTAGCAGCTCACATCAAGTCATTGTAAAGTGAGTTCATTTCGAACTGTTTAATAATTAGTGTAAGAGTTCAGTTGTCAATCATGCAATTCATGTGCTCGCCTTGCTCGGCTGGTAGCACAACCAGAGAATCTGTGGATTCAAAAAGAGAAGGGAGTTTCTCTAACCAATAATCTTCCAGATAAAATTGGTCAATGATAACAACTTGTATTTATACAGCGCCCTTCACACACACAGGACAGCATCCCAGAGCGCTTTGGTCATTTCATGGGGGACATTACCTTGTGCAAATTGCTTGGTGCCTTCCCCTCAACAAACATACAGTCACTACGCTTCACAGTAAAATCTTGTGAAGCGCATTGAGAAGTTTCGCCAAAATGGTCATTCGCAATAGCAAATACAGAATTCTTCTTCTTTTTATATCAAATACAAGGATCATTATTATTTAATACGTGCAGACCAAAGAGCTGCAGTTCTGCTTGACACTTACAGTTAATGTTTTCTTTAAGTAAGGTGCTCCAGGTGACAAGAGTTCCTCGTTGGTGACAAGCCTCTTCAACACTACAACATGAAGCAACGGTGAATTCTCACGCATTGAGTCTCTCTCTGTCTCCTTCTCTCTCTCTGTCTGTCTGATTGCTTCTCTCGGATTTTGCTAACTGCTCACTTTCATCAGATTTAATTACACAATGTTAACATTCTCAACGCAATGCTCAATTTAACAAATAAAAAGCTTGCGCAAAATCTATTGATTTCCACAATTTTTTCACAGTTACAACGGATATTTAGAAAGTGCCCAGTCTGACCTGATTTTGGGTTACACTCCACTGAAGGCAGACTGGGTGTTGTGGTGTAAAAGACTGTCCCTCCTGCCACTGCAGAGCTAACACTGCTTCGACGCACAGCAGAGACAACCTTTATCTCCTTGTTGGGTTGCACTGGAAAGAAGCAACAAGATAATTTGTTGTAATGTTTCGCAAAATGCTTACGAAAAGCTTAGTAATCTCATGCTTCACTGAACATTACCTGTGAATAAACAGTCTCTTCCTTTTATGATGACAATGTGTAAAATTTATGTTTAAGTTAAGTTGGGTCAAAAGTAAATATCAAAATTATTATCAAAATAAGTAAAAACGTGTTTTGATAATACATTACTGTGTACAATTCCCCAAACTAAAGTGAACGCTTTTCTTAATGATAAATCCTCCAAGTTTAACAACGCTAGTTATGAAGCATTGGGAACATGCGTTAAAAAAAATTAACTTTGAGGATTTTGATTCAATTGTACGAACTTTACACCTGACAAGAATAATAACCTTGCCAATCACTTGCGACTCTCTCTCAGGTATCATATGCATTGAAGAAAAAGAGGGAAGAATGGGAACTAATCAGTCAGGTCATGAGGAGAGAAGATAAAACAAAATGAAACATGTCCGCACAACGTTGTAACCTGGGGTTGGTGTTCAGTTAAATTGTGAGAGTAATTTATCAGACATTTCCATTGTAAGTACCTGTCCATTTACCAATCCTAGCCTACTCCTGCCATTGTATTAGGTGCCAGATCAAGAGTGATTATTTTTCTCCCCCGCAGCGATTTCTCAACTTGATTAATATATTCTTAGCAACAATGGTTTTTCTTTTAAAAAGTGATTGTGTCAAGCCAATTCTTCCCGGTGTAAGAGGCACTTTACCTAATTGTTATAATTATTAGCGGAGATGAATTAACACATCACCACAATGAGCGAAAATCTCCCCGATAGTTTTATGTCAATAGCTTCAATGATTAATTACAACTTACGATTCTACATTAAGCACATTATTTCTATCGCAACATAATGAGTTGTTCTGCACTGAGGCCAGGGAATTTCTACTCAAATGATGGAGTACATAATAATAATAATATTAATCCTCGCATTTATTATATCGCCTTATCATGTCATCAAGACATCTCAAAATGCTTCACTGATATCCTGTAAAAAATTGTCTGTGTATTTTGTGGGCGAAACGTGGTAGCAAGTTCAGCATGGCGATGTCCTACAAAGCCATTGAGTGATTGACCAATTTTATTTAGGGGATTTGTTGGCCAGGACACTGTGAAAAACGCCCTTCGCTTTCTTTTTTGAATAGCACCATGGGATCTTTAACGTCCACCTGAACAGACAGACAGGACCTCAGTTTAACATCTCATCCGAAGGCCGTCACCTCTGACAATGCAACACACCCCAGCATTGCATTGGAGTGTCATCTTGGACCATGTGATTGCAAGCCCCAACATGGGAACTTGAACCCACAACCTACTGAGGCGAGAGTGCTACCATTGAGCCAGGCCGACACACAATACTCGCAAGTCTGTAGTCTCGCATTTTGCTCTGCAGCCAACGGAAAGCTTTATAAAAGCATACAACTTGGTTACATGCTCAGACATTCTTCTACCTGAGAGAAAACTGGAGTTGCCTTGTTCCGGGTTCAGCTTGCGGAGGCAGAAGGGGCTGTCGTGGTACTCCTGTGCCATCCACGCGTTTTCGTTCAAAAGCTCAGTTAGTCTGCGTCTGCGGCGAAAGTTTATGCGGAACTGGTACAGTAAGTTACTGTCAAAAAAGTGGTGACGGCTTGAGACTGCAAAGAGGTAAAACATTTGCGTGACCAATCCATTCTTTCCCGCTTTACGTTCAATCAGGTCAAACCCACGAATCACGTGGATCGGTATCCAACGTACTGAAACTCCGCAAGTTATTTCATTACAGGAGCTGGAGAGACCGCACAAAGCGCACAGAGAGTGTGCGGAACTGGGCTTGCAGAAACTTAACAGGAGGCAGCCCGATAATTCTATTGCTTCCCTTCATACGTCCAGTGTTCAGATTTCAGCCTCAGCTGCTAATCGGTCTCTGGCTTTTCTGGTGGTTGCCTTCAGAGGAAGGGAGGGAATCCTACCTCTGGAATTGCTGCTCAGTGCCTCTGGAGGCATTGCCCTTCTTACAAGTCATTGATGCCTGGCTGAGAATGGAGGGAAACTGATTCATACACCTGCAAAGGCCCAAACCAATAAAAAGCAGGTGGTTCATACAGTAGGTGAAATTATGCTCAGATCCATTGAATGGATTCTGCCTGCACAAAACAGTGTTGGAAACTGTGAATAGCAGACATTTGAAAGCCTCAACGTTACTCAATCCCCTGATCCAGTAACACCATGTGTCATCGTGTAATTTTTCTTTATTCCCCAACAGCCACTGACTGATTTTGATGAGCTGGGTATTTATGAATTATACATTCATCGCATTAGGCTCTAAACTGGTGGTAGATTGGAAGAAGCATTGTGTTATATTGTAGCATTGTTAAAATTTCTTTTTAGGATGCTTACTTTCATTGTACAAAATATTATCACTGAGTATGAGTCTGTTTAAAAAACACACAGTACTCAAGCTCTTTCATAGTTTGGGAGATTTTAAGAGGATTCAATTACAACTAAGAAAACATGTTTACCTGTAATTTTCTAACCAAAGAAAGAGCAGGCACGAGCAAATAAATGGAATGAAATAGGTGCAAGTGATGAAGTGCCTTACAAATCAATGCTTCAGTTAAACTGCTTAATGAACTGCAATACAGCAAACTCAACAAATTCTCATTGTCCAGTTGGGCATCTGAAAAGTTGGTATAATAGCTGAGGACAGTCGTGCCTTTACTACAACAACAACAACTTGGATTTATATAGCGCCCTCCACGCCGGACGGCATTTCAGAGCGCTTTACAGTAACGAATCCCGGGGCCGAGCCAGGGGGAGGGGGAGGAGCCAGGGGGAGGGGGAGGAAGATGACCAAAGGCGCGGTCAAAAAAGAAAGGTCTTCAGTAGGGACCTGAAAGTAGGAAGAGAGGGAGTGAGGCGAAGGGAGTGAGGAAGAGAATTCCAGAGCGTGAGGGCATAGTGGCTGAAAGCACGGCCGCTGAGGGTGGAGCGGAGGACTCGGGGGACGAGGAGGAGGCCAGACCTGGAGGAACAAAGGCAATGGGTACTGTTTTGAGGAGAGAGGAGGTCAGAGAGTTCGGGGGGTGCAGAGGAGTGCAGGGACTTCAATACAAGGGTGAGGATCTTGAAATCGATCCTCTCTGAGACAGGCAGCCAGTTCAGTCTGGCCAGGACTGGGGGGATCGGGGAGCGGAGTTTGGTGCAGGTGAGAATAAAGGCGGCAGAGTTTTGGATGATTTGGATTTTATGGATGGTGGTGGATGGGAGACCGGTGAGGAGGGCATTAGAGTAGTCCAGCCGAGAGGTGACAAAGGCATGGACCAGAGTTTCAGCGGCCTTCGGAGAGAGATATTTCCGGAGACGGGCGATGCGTTAGAGGTGGAAGAAAGCGGTGCTGGTGAAGGACCGGATGTGGGGGAGGAAGGACAATTGGGGGTCGAACCTGACGCTAAGGTTGTGTACGGGTTTGGAGAGTTTTAGGGGAAGGTCGGGTAGGTGGAGGAGGTGAGAGCCATGGGATTTGAGATGTTGACGAGAGCCAAAGAATATGGCTTCTGTCTTGTCGACGTTCAGTTGAAGGAAATTTGCGCTCATCCAGCCCCTCAGGTCTGACAGGCAGCTGACAGATCATCAGAGGACTGGGGGTCGCAAAGAGAGGTGGAGAAATAGAGTTAGGTGTCGTCCGCATACATGTGGAAATGTACTCCATGTCTGCGGATGACATCCCCAAGAGGGAGCATGTAGATCAGAAAGAGGAGGGGGCCAAGGATGGATCCTTGGGGTACCCGCAGGTGACCGGGTGAGAGCGGGAGGAGAAGTCGTTTGTTCAGATGTACTGCTGGCGGTTTGTGAGGTAGGACTCGAACCAGGCGAGTGCGGTCCCACGGAGGTGGATGACAGAGGAAATGCGGTGGAGGAAGATGGCGTGGTCGACTGTGTCGAACACGGCTGAGAGGTCCAGGAGGACAAGGAGGCAGAGGGAGCCCTGGTCACAGATAGAGAGGATGTCGTTTGTGACTTTCACAAGCGCAGTCTCTGTACTGTGGGCAGGGAGGAAACCGGACTGGAGGGGATCGAAGAGGGAGTGGGAAGAGAGGTGTGTGCAAAGTTGATTCTATCAGTGAAAGTGAAGTCCTAATCGTGGCTTTATATTTTTATAGTGCAACGCTGACTTCTGCTGATAATTGTGCTATCCTACAGTTGTGCTATACTACAGTTGGGCTATCCATGAGCCTCCTATGCTCTCTTTTCCTTTGCACGCATAGCATTAATAATTAAAAACTCTCAGATGCCCAGTGGACTTTAGCAGGCTGCTCACCGTGCTGTATGATTCCGTGTTCAAGCAGCCGGTGACAGAGTTCCACGGCTTCCTTTCGTGTTGAGGCTTCTCCTTCTTGTAACAGCCAGTCGATGATTTCGCAGCCAAAAACAGTGCGCTGATACCTCACCCCACCTTCCTCTTGTACCTTCATGACTGTGTTCTCAGAATTTAGCAACCTGCCAATTGCAAAACAGCAACTCGGTAGCGATATGCAAACTCCATAAATGAAACATGCCACAGGCTATTCTCGTAAAGATCATGCAATCAATTGTAAATAAATTATTGGTACTTTTTACGTTTAAAAAAATATCACTGCCAATTTTCCCTTTTCTTCTCATTGGGACCAGTTTACTATTGTGCAGCTGCCTTGGTCTGGGACACTAATAATAACAATAATAATCCTTGCATTTGATATAGCGCCTTATCACACCTTCAAGACTTCGCAAAGCCCTTCACATGATATACAAAACGCGGCAGTCAATTGTGCACAGCAGTGTCCCATAAACAGTGGTGGATTGAGTGACCAAATTATTATTATTTCTTTATTTGTTTAATGTTTAAACTACAGTCAGTCTTACTGTTTAATGACCCTCAATATTATGTTATAATAACCTGCAAAGGTTTGATTCAAGAATCCAGAACAGCCCCTTAGATTATAAAATGTACAGGCAACACACTTTTCATACAAACTTTGACCTCTCATGAACACCTTTACTTCCTTATTTAAAGGGAATGTCCCATCATCTTTTCGGAATCTGTACAGAAGCTTTGCATCCTTGAATTCTGAATGTCCATCGCAAACTGAAAAAGAAATCCCTTTATTATTTTCACTTGAGGCATTTTAGCCACTTCCACAGAACTTATAAGCAAACAGGACACTCAATCTGTCGCAACATCCCACAAACAGAGGTAAAGTGACTGACCAGTTTTATCGGGAAAAATTCCCGTCTCTTTTTGAATAGTGCCATCGAATCTTCAACATCCAGCCGAGCAGAGACCGGACCTCGGTTTCCTCCGAAGCACAGGACCTCCAACAATGCAACGCTCCATTTAACAAAGTTCTTATAGCAAAACTGGCACGAGAGAGGCCGGTTCCCTCTTGGCACACAGGGTTGCTACAAGTACAGGCAATTTGCAGTGTTGTAGGTTCTCAATAACAGACGGGATTGTAGCCCCTTTTTTAAAATACTCTTCTCTTACCAGGCTTCTGTGATGCATGTTATTATTTGCCTTTACATTTTTATTAATCTGCACTCTCTCCCATCAAGAATTAAACACAATGTTAAATATTTCAGCAATTGAAAAGAAATTTGTCTAAAAAATGCATTAGACACATTCTAAACGCCTTTCTCCTCGTCAGGATTTATCCCTGGTTGACCCAGGAATTGAGCTGGAAAATGAACACCTCAGTAAATGTTATTTTTAAAAAGCTGGTCTGACAGAAATGAATGACAAGTTGTGACTGTTTGTGCGTAAACATGTCACTGCCATGTTTACAATCTTCATGAGCATTTCACAAAGGTTGTTCCTTGCACTACCATTTCTGTCTTTAATGGGCAATATTTGTTTTGTCTTATTTTTAACAACAACAAAATTACATTTATTATTGTTATTATTACATTTGTAAAGCACCTTTCACGTCGGGAGGATGTCCCAAGGCGCTGAACGGTCGAGGATCAGGATTTTTTAAAAAACAACGTATACCCTTTGTAAAATATTTCAGATGAGACATTAAACCGAGATCCTCTCTTCCTGTTCAGTTCAATGTTAAAGATCCCAAGGCATTATCTGAAACGAGAAGGGAGTTTTTCGCTGCGTCCCTGCCAAAAATCTTCTGGATAAAACTGATCATTCACTTGTTGGCTGTTTGTGGGGCATTGCTGTGTGTAAATTGGTTGTTCCCTTTTGCCTACAGAATGCACAGAATTCACCCTGCACGAAATCCTGTGAAGGGCATCGAAACATTTCGTTGACATGATAAAGCATTGCATCAAATGAAATCATTATTATCTTTATTATTTTTATATTATAAAAGATTTTTCTTCCCCCTCAAAGACTGCCCTAGGCTATAAATCTAATTCAGCTGCTAGTAAATAAGCGACAGATTCCGCAGGTGAGCTGCACTTCTTCCTTGCCTTGACATGTTGGCCTGATGGTACAGCCATGAAGAAGAGAGTACCCATTTACAGGCAAAGAATATCCTATTGCTTTCTGGCACAAGATGTCTGAGTACAAGGTGTGCTCCACAAGGCTGCAGGGCAAATCTATGAACTACAATCAAATATATATTAGAAACTTTAATAAGAAGCCATCTGTAATGTTACGTTTTGGCAAGATGACAAATATCGCACACACTGTTGTCTCCCCATTCCTAAATGTGCGCTGTATTTTTTTAAAAAGGCAATTTAAAAAAACATTAACTACCTTCCACCCAAAAGAAAGACAATAATGGTTAATGCCTGACACAAATACATAACCTTCACACCTCATCAAGACAGCTTTCTTAGCAGTTTGTCTTAGAATAACATAGTCCTTCTTCATCAAAGGCGTAAGACTGTAAAACTGTTAATGGATTGTGCCAATAACATACCGTGATGAATGATGTTATGATCCATTAACTTTTGCATTAATTTTATGGCGGTTTCCCTATCTGGTGCTTCTTTATGGTCTATCAACCAATCAGTCAACTCTTTCGCAACAAAGCAGTTTGGATAGGTCCGCAGGTGATAGCGACGATCTTTGATTAACTTTCCATCATGGAGACGGAGCCTGTGAAAATAACAAAGTCGTAAAGTAAAGTCCATTAAGGTTATTTTTCCGTTTAATAGTTTAATGCCTTTCGCCCACAAAATGCTCAGTCACTATACTTTACAGTATATTCTCTGAAGCGCTTTGAGATGTCTCAACGACGTGATGAGGGGCTATATCGAATGCAAGGATTATTTTTATCTTGGAGGAACTCAGCAGTCAACTCAACTAAAGTGTCAATGTCTTTTTTGAGCTGGTCGTCAATTCCTGTTCATTGTTGCAAATTTGGAATAAAACTAGCCTTGATCTCGGAGCAGGGTAGGAAATTGAAAGGAAAACATTGGGCGATAGAAAGAAATACAAAAAATGGGACAATGTATTTTCAATGCAGATTTTACGTTTTCACCATTCCGTGAATCTACTTACACAATGTTTTATTTGTCCCGAGAATCACTCCCGTGCATTGTGATAAACCTTCAATGTTTGGTCAACTAAAATAGCCGCATCTGTTTGATCTTGCACCATTGATAATTACCCTTCGCTTCCTGTTATTGAGCCAATTCATTATCTGACTTAAACCTTTCTTCTTTATCCCATTAGATGTCACTTTAGCCACAAGTCCCTTTGGAGTCCCACACTGAATGCTATCTGAACGACAAGATACCTAACATCAAATGAATTATCACCTGCCAGCTATGTTCCATCTTTGAATTCCAGTAAATTTCCTTGGCAAAATTCCGGTGGTCAGAAAAGTTAACAATCTCACCAGTGTGGGGTAAAACGAGGAAACCCATTTACAAGCAAGACAGTAATTTTATCAACCAGTGAATATCACCTCTAGCTAACCCTAAAGTAACTCCTTTATAATTTATTTTCTCAACTGTAGTATTATAATAATAATAATAATCCTTGCATTTGATATTGCACCTTTTCAACATTGTCAAAATATCTCAAAACACTTCACATGATTTACTGTAAAGCGTAGTGACTGTTAACTTGCAAGCAAACACAGCAGCCAATTTGCATGCAGAGATGTACCACAAGGAGCCACAAAGTGAATGGCCAATTGTATCTAAAGGACAATGGGAGGAACTCTATCTAACTTACAGTTAACATCTTGTATTTTAACTCAACAAAAATATAAATAATATGGCGCTGCACTGGGGAAAGTACAGTGGACTTGACATTTTAGGAACGCTTTGTGATCGATTTACATCACAGGCCAAGGATATACAGTGTACACACACACTAATTGGCAATCTATAATTGCAATACAAAGGCGTTACAGTGTTGTTTTCAGGTAGCAGGCCTGAAATACTGATCCAGCAATTCGAACTTAACCACAACAGTACATCACAATTTGAACTGCTCGGGTTGCGTGCTTTTTCTTTAGATTTATGCTGGTTTGGTTCAGCAGTTAATGCATTATTTACTAATCCTGCAAACCCAGACTGTAAATAATTGATGGGGAACATGTACAAGTTCATTTTGGTTTCTGGTCAATTCAGATTTTTGACATTCCACTGTACTTCAACAGGAAAGCAGGATGCCTCAGACACCATATATTGAGGTAAAGTGTAAGAACATAAGAAATGATGAGATGGGAAAAGGTATTCACTTTAGTTTGTTCTATTATAATCCAGACCCCTGGAGTAATATAGACACCTAATCTTTCTATAAGATCGTTGATCTTTCTGTATGATCGTTGATCATGCTCTGAGAAAATCTAGTCTGCATGAAGCAAATGTTCAAGCTGGGGAGCATAAACTGTACTGATGTTGTATTATCATTGTTAAAGTGATTCTGAGATGTAGTGTGGTTCGGCTCATAGTATCTCCAAGTGTGACAAAGCACTCGAATGGTTTCAGGAAAAAGCGATGAGCATCATTGCAGGCTTTAGGGTTATCAAGAAAGATTCAGGCAAACACGTTTGTTTTCACTGGAGAAAAGAATATTGAGGGGGTCATATAATGCAGGTAATTAAAATCATTCGGGTTGTACAGAAGCAGCATATTAGTTTGGCCAGTGAATTAAGGCTGGGGGACATAAATTGGGGGTTCAAATTCCACACTGGGACTTTGAACGCACTGTCCAGACTGACCAGGTGCCAGAGCAAAAGGACATTGTTTGAAGCGCTGTCCTTCAGATGAAATGTAAAACCAAGGTCATGTCTACTTGTTTGAGTGGATATTAAAGAACCCATGACACTGATCAAAGAGAGAACAGAGTTTCTCCCCATCCCTTGGCCAACAATCCTCCAGATAAATCAGTCATTCATTTCAATGCTGTTTGCTGTGGCTGCCATATTTGCCTACAAATGCACAGCAACTACACTCAACAGCACTCACCTGAAGTGCTCTGAGGTGCTATATTAAAGCAAGCAGCATTATTATATTATGAGATTATCATGATAGACCTGTGGAGACAATGTTTTATGGAGGGGCTACATGGTTGTTCCTCACTTTTTCTCAACTTTTCTTAAGTAAGTCCTTATAAATAGCAACAGATCTAAGACCTTTTCAATCCCAACATTGAATGCATCTGATTATCTTTAGCTCAACCTTATCGTTCACATGTCAAAATGCTACAGTACAAAGTTTTCAGCCCAACTTTGCCAATAACAAAGCTCATTTGACAATCATTGAAACCAACATGCTGCCAAAACGACCTGTGCTTTAACGTATACTTTTGGAGAACCGGCAATACAATGGGAGGTTTAGAACTGATATAAAGCAACTTTAAAACGATACGACCGTAGCACTTAAACCACCTTAACAATATAAAAAGTCAACCTTCTGGGCTAGATCCTGTACCACATTTATATAATTATATCCTTAGTGTAACCAACAAGTATGCACATCAGTTTTTATCATGTTATCCTATACATATCAATATTATGCTGCATCTCAGTTTGCTCCTGTTATGTATTTCATGCTAATGAGGATGGTAGTGTAAATGGTTAAACTAGTACTGCACTTGCATGGATCTCATTACAGAAAGAAGTAAACACGCCCAAACAGCTCATGCATTTTATTCCAGGTCCCAGAAAGCATATTCAAGTCACTTGACATCCACTTTCATGTGGAAATGAGGAAACGATTTCTATCTAATCTAACCTGGAGGGAATGGATCATTTGCACCAAAAAACAAGATCAGTGTAGCTAATTAGTGGATACAATAGATGAAGATTTACTTAGGTGGAATTGCACTTTTTTAGGACTTAAATTCCGCATTTGTATTATTATTGTTATTATATTACAGACATCAAGCAATATTACACATATTGTTCTTGAGATGATGAATTGCACATATAATTCCATACCTTAATTGCTCCCCTGTAATTAGCACCTCTGCCTTGTAATGCCTCTCAGTTGCTTTCTTTTTCACGCTGTTCCCAAGACTTTCCATATTTTGAACCAAAGTAGGAGGAATCCCATAACAAGCTGTGGCTCTGACTTATCTGCACCTGCTGCTGGCTTTCAGATAAGTGAGCCTGTCGGTCCTTTCATGTACAATCTCTTCTCCACTGTCAGACACGCAGCCAGCCCTCTGAAAGATTTCTTTGGAGACTTCACATTTTTTGAAATCACTCTACTACTCCAAAGCTTTCTCCAATTCCGCCCTCTCTCGGTCTGTTTTTTTTTGTCTCTCCCTCCCTCTCCTTTTCTCTCCTCCTCAGAAAGGTTATAACGCATTGAAGCCGACTGTTGTGTCAATGCATTCTGTAACCTGATCAGTTACCAGCAAAGGACGAGATTTAACAGCAAATGGCAACAGGTCGGAGAGAGGGAGGGAGACAAAAACCTTTTGATCCAAGTTTTGCACCTAAATCAACAATCGATACACGTGTTTTTGTTTTCAAAAATGACCTTTTGCAATTTATGCAGAAAACTATTTTTTTTAACAGTTGCATAAGCCAAAGCCAAAGGTTGACAGTGTAAACAAATCTGGTGTTGCAAGTATCTATAATAATAATCCTTGCATTTGATAATAATAATTCTTGCATAATCTTCGAGACGTCTAAAAGCGCTGAGAATCTGCACAAGCTCTGTTTTCATCCAGTTCCTTCTGCTCCTACATTTGGAAGTCAGTTCCAAACCCGTTTTATAGAACGTAAGGGTCATCTTGACGCCAGCATTGTACACAAAGGTTTATTTGGAAACAATTGTGAGCACATATCCTTTACATATTTCGCAAAGTCTGCTCGCATCCTGTAGCTTTTTGTTTTATATATACACTTAGGTGGAGCGAATACAATGGACTGACTCCACAGAAAAATAACAAGGGCGGGTGTCTCATGAACTGGGAGTCTGCTGGTTGTGTGCGAGCACCAGAGGTCAACTTGGGAGAAATTGTACTGAATGAATGCCACTGGGCAAGACACAGATTTCCCCCCCCCCCCCCCCACTTTGATGTATGCTACAAGCCTGGCTTAGTAAGACATGGTTTACTTTGTTTGTGTAAATCGATCACATTAACACTGATGCTGCAAGCGAGAATCCATTCCCCAAACGTAGCATGTAATTGGGTTCTGATGGGTTCCTATCCTTCACTGAAGTTGAGAATGCATTTCACATCAAATCGAGGGGGGAGTATGCTGGTATGTTAAAGCAGAGAGATTGGGGGTAGATGTTGACATATCGTGGTGGAGAGAATTGGGAAAGATCTTAATTAAAGCAGAGGCGCAGAGAGAAATGTTGGCATACATAATGAGTTTTTGAAGGGTAGCTGACTTAATACAGGAAAAAATAGATTAGAAGGAGTTAGCCTTGGATTCTGATAATACACACACATTGTGGAGTCCTGTAGTGTATTGGTTAGAGCGCTCACCTAGCAAGCGAGAGTACCTGGGTTCGATTCCCAGGCAGGGTGAAATGTTAGGCAAGTTTCTTTACCCCACATGCCTGGTTACCCAGCAGTAAATAGGAACCCGGTTGTTTGTCAATTGTCGGATTGTTTTTCCAGGTGTATTAAACTCTCCAAAAAAAATGTTATCACTCAATCCACGACTCTTTGTGCAACACTGCTGTGCACAAATGACTGCCGCATTTCACCCACAAAATATAGTCAATTCACTTTACAGTATGTTCTGTGAGGCGCTTTGAGACGTCTCAAAGACATGATAAGCGCTATATCAAACGCAAGAATTATTATTATGTATCCTCAAATAATCGATGAACCCTTTAAAACTCTACTGCCATCCATCCACTTTTCAGAGTACTGCAGGGTTTATGTTTCTCGGTACCAGCCACAGCAACACACTCACAAGCACATCTTAGATCCTAATTCTCCTTAATGTATAGAGCAATCATCTCATCTGAACACTGAAGCCGAATGCAGTATACACCTCCTGCGATGGAACTTACAGTAGTCAATGCCATTGTTTGATCTGAAATAATTCTGTAAAAAAAAATCAATCTAGTTGTGACGTAATCAGAATATTTGTCCACAAAACCCCAGATGAGTCAGGCCGCTTCCAACATAACACTTAACACATTTCAGCAGTGCCTCAGTGCAAAATCTGGGGTTCCCAAGCCTTGGCTCTTGCCAACCTGTGCCTCATCCTCTTGGGAATTAGGTAAGGAGGACCCATCCCTCCAGGGAGAGTGTGCATTCCATCTCTTGAATTTCCATGTAGAGGTGGGATGTATGGAACTGTTTGGTTTGATACTTTTAAGCATGGAGATGAGTTTCCACACGTGTCTGACCACAAAAAACAAAAAATCCTCATTTATTAAGTGTTGTTTTTCACTGCACAGTGAAGTGTAAGTGTAATCTGCCCTCTGTTAAGACCAGCGTTGAAACACCTCTGAGAGCTAAACATTAATGAACTTTGCCACTTAACTCACTTTAGAGCTTTTCAACCTGAATTTGTGCTGACATTGATTTCCTGTTTTTCTCTGTGCGCAACACCTCTCTCGGGTTACAGAGGTAGTCGCCGTATCTAATAATACATTTGTAGCAGAATGCCGCTTCGTGCAAATATTGTTAGTCAATTTTCCACCCGCGAACAGCTTCCCCTATTATAGTTAGTCATTTCTTTCAGTGGTCTATTTGCTTTTCAGTTATTGGTCAGTGCGGGCCTGGCTGTTATAGTAATTCATGATAAGAATCTTTCAGTCAACAATCTAGAATATGAAAAATTAAACATTAAAGGCTTCAGCTCATTTTAATGAAACATTAAGTAAAGCAAAGTTGTTAAATAGATTTAAGCCTGAGCAGGTTTATTTACTTTTAGCTTCGGGAAATAAGAAATCTTATTTTTACAGCTTTATTAAAAATAAAAAAAATCCTCAATTGTTGAGTAGAGTTTATTCACTGCACACAGTGACTCTCCAATGAAGAGAGTTGAAATCCTCACTTTTGAAAGAAACTTTAGGCCTGAATACTAAAGAAAGCACATTTCAGAAGCACATTTGAAGGTAATTAAACAAATTACATGTTGAATTTCATCTGCTTTATTGTGGCGCACTGACAAACAGACCAAAACACAGAAATCCATTGCAAAACTACCTCTTAACAAACAACAATATAGAAGTTTTTTGTATTTGCAGCTGCTTATTAATATCAGCGGTTTTTGACAGCTTTTAAGGAGAACATGAATGTTCAATCATCCCACCAGTACAGAAATGAGAATACATTATCCCGCTACTCATGCTGAAAAAAAATATTGCACCAATACTGAAGTATTGCACCAATACTGAAAGACCAAATGCTCCTGTTGTCTCCACATTTTATACAACCGGAATGTTGGGCATAGGTTTTGAAGGCAGGAGCAGGATTAAAGACCAGATACAGAAAACGCCACCACACTTCATATCAACCTACTTTTAAAAACTGAAATCAAACAGCTTGCAGAATGGACTTCTCCTTTGAGGTTTGAACAGGTTGAAAGGTTTTATACATTTAAAAATAGAGAACATACATCTGACCCAATTTGTTGCTAATGGCTGGTAAAATTGTCTAAATGATTGAGAAAAAAAAACATAAATGAAACAAGATGGAGATTTCCTTTTAAATACTTAGCTATGGTTAGTAAGGCATTGAAAAAAAAAACCAGTAACAATTATAAAATGATTACAGCTGGAATAGATTGATTTTAAATTAGGAAGCCACAGAGTTGATTTTAACCAATTGGGATTCAAACTTGGAATGAATCGGAGAACAATTTGAGAATATGAAACCGTAAAAAATTGGACTTGCCCTCTGTCCAATTACACATCATAGAACACAAAACAGACTGCATTGTGGCATGCAATTAATGTTACCATTGTGTTTTGCTTAAAAAAACCTGAGCTATAATGAATCACAACACTATTTAACTATATAGGTTTTTCTTCGGTTCTCCATGATGGTGCACAGATTTCTATTCATCATATATATATTATTATATACACACACACTTAAAAAAAACACAACCTTTGATGAATTAATGAAAGATTTCCTATCAATGCACAGAATGTAAAACTGGTACAGAAGGGTGAAATTAAATATGTAAATTGAGAATATTCCAGTTACAATACTGACAGTTCATTGTGACTACTTTCATCATCAGTGAAATAGCCACGAGCAGTCCTCTATTAAATATATATAAAAAAAGTCTTCTACAGACATAAGTACAGATCAGTTTACAACAGCAATGATGCAAAGTAAAGCAAATAGCAGTTCCTTTCCAGCTGAGGCAGTTTGCCAGATTACCAGTTCTGATTATCCCAGCCATCATCCAGAGTTCCTTTTTCTTTCTTTGGAGATTGTTTACTCTTGTTCTCCCCTCCCACAGCCCAGTTATTATCCCAACTGTCCCAGTCGTTACCACTGTTAGTTTGCTTTTCTGTGCTTGGCTTTGCACCCCAGGCATCCCAGTTTTCATTGTTCTTTTCAGTCGAACCCCAAACTTCTGCACTTTGGGGTGAAGTGGCCTTGGAGTTCTCACCTTGACCAAAGCTGTCCCAGAAGTTGTTTTCAAATCCGCTGTTCTGGTAACTTTCTCCAGGTGGGCAACTGCCAATGAAGAGGACATTGGCAAACATTAAGACTCAATCTAAAGATGCGGATAGAATCATAAAAAACAGCACGCACAAATGCAAGTGTGAGGTGTAAATGGTGCAAATGTTCCTTCCACAGTGAATACTTTAACAACACAAGCACTTCTTACTTTTAAATTATTTTCTTCTCCTGAAGGATTAGTATGCCGTGTTTCATCGACAAAATGCAGTCACTGCACTTCATAGTGTAATCGGTGAAGCACTTTGAGACTTCCTCCCAAAGCAAGAGGCACAATACCAAATGTAAGTATAGAGTCACTGCACACAGCAGAGTGAATTTATCATCCACAGAATGATAGATAAAGAAGTTTGGTATTTTGGTATAACATCATTCAACTAAATGACCCTATTTGGATTGCTGAAGACATTGTGCTGTGTTTTTAGCTGTGCATTACCTTTGTGAGGCTGACGGGTCACCTTCTTTATTTGAAAAGAAAGAATTGACATCTTTCCACCCTTTCGTACTCACTCCCTGGACCTATGGGTATAAACAACAAGGCTAAATAAACGGTTAGTTGATGGAAAGCAAGACGAACAAGTTTACATATGACAGAAATCATATACAAGACTACAATCAAGTGCAAGGATTATTATCATCATCATCATCAATTGTGTGGCTGATTGTTATTGGGGATTCTTCAAACAATTAGTTTTCATGTTACAAAATGTTGCATATTTATAAATATACAAATCCTTCAAATTCAAGGATTGTTATTTATTTACAAAAAAAGTAAGCAAACTTATACATCAGGACTATGTTAACTTGGTAGTTCACACACAATCTTACGCATGTGCATTACATGTTGGCAAGACGCATGTAGTTCGGCATTATGCTTGTGGGTTATTATCTATGGATCTAAAGGGATGGCAATCCTAGGTCATTTCAGATCAGGATACAGTTGTTTCTACAGAAACATTTGTACATTTTCTACAGAAACACTTACCACAACATCAATTATCAATGCCAGCAAATAAGGAGAAAAAACAACAAATTAGTGTTGAACCAAATAAAAATACCCCAAGTCCACATAAGTCAGTCTTCATTTTTGGCAACTGTGCATCTATTTCATACAAACACAATGGAACTTTCTAAAATAAATCTGCTTTTTTAAATCTAATATATATATATTTAGAACATATCTATATCAGTAAATATATTACTGCCTGCAAGTGAACTAGCGAAATGAACGAGGACAACATTCATTTGCCTAATATCTGGAATTTATTTCCAAACTAATCTAAGTAGCGAATTCAACCATTTTTAATCTTGGATACAATTTACTTCTCAGCTGCTAGCAGCAGTTGCACAAACTCTGAAGGCTGGCTTTAAGTGATCAGAGGTGTCTTTCTGCCATGAGGAAGCCATCCTCCGTACCTTGTGGGCAAGTTCGAAGACACCACTGGAGACATCATCTAAAATGTTTCTCTCTTTCACCTGTTTGTGTACAAACATTTTCAGTTATTAAAAATGTTATATTTGTGAAGTAGTAGTCACCAATTTATTGAACTGGTAATTAAAACACCATTTATCAGCCTAATAAATCTATTCTTAAAAAAAACTGGTGTGAAAGCACCATTTATGCAGAGCAATGGAAATAGTCATATTTTAAATATTTTCCATAATATATTAAATGTCTATTAGTAAGATAAACACAACAGAATGATCTGCCACTAGAGGGCATGTGTAGCAAACCTTGGAAACTTGTGTTACTGTGATTGGGGGGGGGGGGGAATCAAACATAAAATACCTTAAGTTATTGAGTCACAGGTATCCATTGGTTTTAAGAGCACAGTGGATGAATAATGAGATAACAACCTGTGACAATTTAAATGGCAAAAAAAAATATTTTTGCATCGCCAGCAGCCTGCTTGTCATTACGATGTTGCAATCGATGCCAGGTTAATTACCAAGTGATTCGAAATTTTAAGTGCCTATTAAAGCAGACATTAAAAGTAAACTGGCAAACAAATGAGGAGTAAAGAGGCATTAAAAACCCATAAGTGAATCTGTAATAAGAATACAAGTTGATTTGCATTCCCAAATCATATAACTAAGGGCATAAATCAAAACAGAATCAATTCTAGTTTATCAACTCTACATAAGAATACTAATACTCAGTACTCGATTCAATACTTTGGCTGTAAAATATAATCCATCTTTACAAAACTTGATCTCAAGTTGCAAGACATTTACATGGGATATATGAAATTAATAGCCCTGCACCAGTGATTGGCATCTGTTTTGAAATCTAACTTTGCAATATAGTTTCATTTAAGTATAGAAATCAATCCATTCAAAAAATGTGTAAAATTATACATATATTAATACTTTATTTAGGTCTGTGTGAAAACAAACAATGGAACTGAAATGAAGATTGATCCAAACAAGTAAGGAACTAGGCGGTCTTGGAAAGTTGAATTTTAGACATACTGATTTTTAAAATCACCCGTAGTTACTAGGAAAAAAATTATTCTTGAAAAGTTTCATGCAATCAAAAAGACTTTCGCAAAGTAGAGAAATAAAGCTGTATATGCAAAGGAGCATTTAAAAATTATTAAAAAGCTGTTCACTAATGGTCAAGAGGCAATCATACAAAATTTCAGACTCTTAAACAATCACAGGGATTCAGATTTCAGTGATTTGAGAACAAAATATTGCTCGAGGTTATTCAGAAATTTAATGCTCATTATAATTGTCACAGGAAATGAGTTTTGTAATGCGTTATTCCGATCAACAACTGAGGGATATTGGAAATTCTAGCACATTCACACAGGCAAATGCTTGAAATGATTTATTATTCTAAGAGTCATTAACTCCACTGTTAATAGAGGCGATTAAAAATGATCCATTAGAAAAATTCTGCGAAGCAAGTTGTATCATGCAGGACTATGTTACCTTGTCCTGAGCAGGTTTGATCACATTCTCATTAATTGTGTGACCTAACTCTGTAGCCTATTTAAAAAGCAAGAAAGACATTTCAGTGTTGAAAAATGCACATCTTACATATGTACCTCCGACACATGCAGCAACCAAACAGCACAACATAGTATTGTTTCAGAATGGCCGACTAGTGCATGCAGACAAGACAGAGATGAAACGAATAGTGAGAAACAATCCAAGGTTTTACATGACAGACTAACGTTTCAGCCAGTTATTTATAATTTTGCAATGTGACATATCCAATACAATAAGTAGCAAGCAACGTGGATTATAGTTTCCCTTCACTACCAGATGAAAAGTCACACTTTGAATTTGAATCTAAAGGTCAACCCACAAAGGGATGATTTCCATATAAAATAATCTTACCTCACACTCTAGAAATGCAAACTTTCCCAAGATAAGGCTATTTGACTAATTCTGCTCCAACTTTCAATGTGTGTAAATAACTTAAAAAATAGCAGAGAACAGACTTATCTGAGGATTCCCAGATTTAGCAAATTGTTAATCAGTTAGCTAAAACACCAACTTCAAGGTGAATATCTGCACATTTGTAAGCTATTAACTTCTGCAATTATTCAGGTACTATAACCTTTGAATCTTGCAATCTAATCAGGAACGAAAGTACAACGGGAGTTTATAAAAGGTCAAAGAGTTGTTTGCAGCTGTGACAAAGCTTGTACAACTTTTGTTACTAAACTTTTTTTAATTATTAAAAACATTCGATTGGTAATGCCAAATAGTAAAAGAATAATTGACTACAAATGGAAATATTTTTAAAGCACTGATTGCAACAGACTAACTGCTCAAAAATGTTTCTATAAAATAATATCACTTCAACAAAAAAGGATCACCATGTGATGGAACCAACCAAGCAAAAGGAAGATGTACATAACACAGCAGACAACTAGTATGAAATAATTTTACTGATGTAGAATCTGCCATGCACAGAAAGTAGGTATTTTACCGGCTCTGGCTGCTGTTTGTAAGCCCAAACCTTCATCCAGCAAGTAAGTAAGAAGGACAGAAGGAGCACCCTTTAGTGATTCACCCTTTTATCCAAATACCAGTTGATCCGGATTACTGACATTAAAAAACACATCAATCCGACATCTGCTAGTTCTACATGCTTTAAGTGCCACAATTACACTTACAGTTTCTACTGCCCAAAACACAATATGAAATGCATAATTACATAACAAATGCCTTTCACATTTGAAACATTAAGCAATTCTAGCAGAAAACAAGTGTAGCTGTTGTGAGAAGCCAGTTCAATGTAATACTATCTCAGCTGTTTAAAGCCACATCCAGTGCTAACTCTCTCATCCTGTAAATATTTTGTCACACACAAAAAAAATCACCTTCTGTGATGCCTGGCTGCCGAGTTTCACTGCCTGTTTCGAAATAAATAAAAACAGATTAATATTATTAAGTACTTTTAACAACTTACTATAACAGTGGGAAATGGCAATAGAGGAAAGAGCATTATTGAATGAGACGGATTGGTACTTCGATGCTGTAAGCACTAACAACTTTTTTTAAAAAGCTTGCTAAAAGTTAAATACACCTGCAAGATTTCAAATTAAATACCAGAATCATTCCGCACTTACAAACTGCACGTTTTGCAGCAAATGGCTAGGATATTCACAGTGATTCACCCCAAAAAGTACTGAATAATTTGAGGTTGCGCAGTGCAATCCCAAATTAAATTGTGCCGGTTGCCAAGAGCACTGTTTAAGCGGGAGATTTTAGCAACGTAAGGATTCACACATTGCAATATATTCACAGCAGGTTCAATCAATTCAGCTTCAAGAGTACTTGGGCGTTCCAATCATGTTAATTTTAAAGCGAGTTACATGAGCAGCTCCCACAATAAAGGTGTGAACATATAGTTACCCCTTCTTTTGCTGCTGATGCAAACTTGGTCGCTCCAACTGTAAAACTGCTCCATCCCTGTTAAAACAGAGGACAATTTTAATGGACTATCCACTCACACCAGTTATACATTATTTTTCCTTTTCAGCGTGGCACTCGAGTTTCAGACATTTTAAACATATCTTTACTTTTAATCAACTCAAAGTAACCAGTTTTAGAACTGCAGTCGAAAAATTGTAAATCATAGTTAAACTATTCAACATATTAGTGCAAGAGTCACTGCCCAATGTCCTGCCAAAATAATCCCCCAGTTAAAACTGGTCTTTCACTACTTGGCTGTTTGTGGGACATTGTTTGACTGCCCTGTTCACCCACAAATACACACAAGTACTGCACTTTACGATAAAATCATGTGAAATGCGTTGAGACATTTGGCAACATGATAAGGTGCTATATCAAATGATTATTGTTATAACGGGGATTTTTCTATACCGAATAAATCGACGTCATGGCGTTGTTGAGAAAGTCGTCTTCTTTCTTCTGAGTGACTGTGTTTCCAAATCCAACATAGCGATTGTCCTGACTGTTGTATCCTCCACCACTGTACAGAATTGAAAGCAAATAAATGAAACACGACTCCTTCAATTGCTAGCAGTACATTAATGAGACCTACAGACAAAAAGGAATTTCTTAATATTTGCAAGTGATGTGCTGCGTACCTTTGATAGGAGCTATCATCATTCAGCCAGTCATCAAATGTTTTATCAGAGGATGATGCAGATGTCTGGTTAGGTCCAGCGGAACTACTGCAAAAGCAAAAAAAAAACCTCAATATTAAAATAGACATAAACGCATTGAATTCAAAGGTTTCACCATCAAATTCCTTAGCCCAAGCACTATTAGGTGCTATTGTCTCAGTAAAAACAGTCAAATGAGAGTGTGTACCAGTCAGTTTTAAACAGAAATAATCTCCCTCAAAGTTTTTATTTATGAACCAGTTGTTAATAACTGCCCCTGAACAATTTAGGTAACAATAATGCCTTGGTAATGATGAATCATTTATTTCATTCATGGAAAAACCCTTGAAATTCGCAACCAAGCAATCATACTGTATTAGGATAAATTCATATTTTGATTGATTTTATCAGAATATATCCCAACATGTATTAGCGCTCAACAGGCTTGGACTACATGAATTTGTCACTGTGGGAATACTATATTATTATATTCCTAATTAATAATAAATGAGAATGAGGAGTAAATACCGGTGAGCTGAAGAAAGGGACATTTTAGGCTGAGGTGGTGTCCAGCTTTGGGCAGCTGAGTTTTCAATCGACCATTCTCTACCCTCAGCCAAGGTAGCAACCTAAAAACAGTAAAGTAGAGTAAATCCTGAGAAGAGTAAATGCATACTAAGTTGGCTCTCAAAGCAACAGATGCATCATTTTATAAATTTACTCTTGTAATTTAATAACAGATTATATAACCCAGAGGTTCTAAATATGTATATAGTTAATGATGCAGAAATCAGTCTGTTCAGGGAGTTGCCTAGAAACAAGTTAAACATGTGTGTATGACTCAAATGCAGTATGTGCTAGAAGTACATAAGCAACAAAATACAAAAAACAATGCTAAGTGAATTTAATGCTATGAACAGCTGCTGTTTAGTTAGCTTCCTCAAGGCCAGCTTCAGGAATATTCACATTCAAGATCTTGACCATTACGTTTTGTAGCTATTTTGTCTGTTTAATCAATCTCATATATAATATATATATACACACACATACATATATACACTCACACACCACCCTTCCTACAATTAAAAGAAGCATAGCTCATAGATCATTAATCCAGTTCATTAAATAGAGGCTCATTTTTAAAAAAAATAGATTTGTTCTGTATAAATGTGCACCTTTAAGCCTTTCTGCTATTGAAGTTATAGTCACTGGAGGTATTGGCAAAGTGTAAGTTGTAAATAGCTTTTCTGGCTATCCGAAAACAAGAATCAACATACCCACTAGTCAGCTGAAAAGCATTACCATACCTGATCTCGGAAAAGCGCTGCAGCTCGACTATTATACTTCTCGTGCAGTGTCCAACACGGATCAGCATCCTGCGATTCCAGAAATTGACGAAATTTAGCATTGCCTCCAGCTTTCATCTTTTCCAACTCCAGGTCTTTCCATTTGTCCATGGTGACAGACCGGACGAAGCTAAGAAAGATTTTGTGTTTGCAAATTAAATCCAGATTTACGTCTCAAGAAATTGAGCAACACCTTTGCGTAGCACTTTGAAAAATCTGAGCACAAGCTTGAGATGGGAGAGAAGTAGGGGGAAGATGTCGAATGGAACAATCAAGATAGATTTTTGGCGAGTTTTATAAAATAAATAAATAATGCTAACATTCGATACAGTGGCTTTCAATCATGAGGATGTCTCAAAAGGCTTTGCAGGATTTACTGTGCCGTTACCTTACATTGTATCAGAGAGTTTGCAGTGAAAACAGAGAGAGGGGGAAAGGTAGAGGGGCTTGGGAAGAGTTCCAGAGAATGGAGGAATGTGGCTGAAAGCTTCCCCACCATAACTTTAATTATGTATTGATCAACCACACCTTTTTGTTGATTACATAAAATGAATAATGAAGCAGTACTGAAACAGTGAGTCATTTTATTGGTATCATTCCAGGCTAGTGAGGATAAAGGAAGACATTTGTTTTAAACTTAAATTAAGTCTACAAAATACAAGAGAATTACCTCAATTACCTCAAACTACTTGTCTAAATGAATACTCCATTAATGCTGACATTTCTTAATAACACTTCTATCTGATTTTCCCTGTTATAATTCATGCTTGTACCTCAGGTGAACTCCTAGGCCTCTGTGTTTTCCTGAGCATTCAAGACAAATCCATATTCCATAGGTTACACTGACCCATTGTGGATTGAATGCTCTGCATTCAAAGCAAATCTACAAAAGATAAAATAGATATTGAACAAAAAAAACTGTCACATTAGCTCCCAAGACATTTAGAATAATAATGCTACACTGGATCATCTTGTATTTGATTGTGGAGGGAAACAGCTGATTATAGCAAAAGCACAAATCCTTTGACAATTAAGAGATTGGAATGCATTTTTTTTGTTTTGTCTTGACAGATTATGAATTCAGAATCAATTCTGCACTAGGGAGCTGATACTCCACATGAAATGTATCGCATGGTAATACAATTATGAATAAGCAGCAGGTGTTACCATTAAATAAGATGAAAAGTCCTACAATCACAGGGTTAATCCTTAATTTGGTATCAAATTGTATTAAGCAAAAGATTAAAGTACTGTAGAGTACTGTGCTTCGGAACATTGTGTTTTACTGAAGTCAAATTGTGTCTGATGTAGATACCTATTACTGTACATACATTGTTTTCATCCTGAGTCCTCACTTCCTTAAGAACTCGTCTTGTCCTTGGACTTGCCATTTTGCCTGAAATCAAAGATCACAACACAGTAGCTAGTTTTAAATCTTTAGTAAAATGATTTGAGGACAAATTACTGCACTGTTTGTTATGGTGAGGGTCAGTTTCATCATTTTGATTCAGCATGCAAAATAAAATATAAGCAAAATTACCAATGTGGAACCTCTATTTATCTAAATGATTTATCAGAATTTAGAACCAACTCTTTTTCAGCCTCACCCTGGCATAGATAACATGAAATCTACAAATGTGTGCCTCATCAGGATCCCCATCCAAGCAGTTTCTTTGTGGATTTTACTTACTCCAGCAGTTATTTATCGTTTAAAATTGTCTTCCTGTCTCCAACACCCTTCTGCCAAGCTCACAATTGCTCCAGCCAGTTGCATTGTCATTCCACAAACCAATCACAATCACTCCACCATGTCCTTCACCTCTCTCACAAGATTGCTTCCAGAATCGATGTAAGATGACCACTGTTCCCAAAACCTATTTGGAGTCATATCTCCCAATATCTCTCCATTCAATAACTCTGATTCCATAACGGAAAATCTCAGGCCAGAACAACCAAACTTGGTACTGAGTGCATGAATTCTTGATGTCATCACAGTCGTATTACAGTGAAGTGTGATGCAGTCAGGAATGCACAAGCCGTTATTGGTAATGTATTTCTATTTTGGCAGATTATTTTTCTCACCTCATTATTGTTATGGCTTCTTCCTGCACTGTCTCCCTTGTGTCTGACATCTCTAACTCCCTCGGTAACACGGATGCAAAAGAGATTTTAAAAAAAACTTAAAAATCCCACTCTACGTTACTACTTCCTAAATTTCCTTGTGAATCCCTCTGCGTATTATCCACCTTAAGTTATTAATTTCTTTACTTCAGTTAATTTTGCTAAAGCAATTACATGTCGGAGGTTGGGGTTCAATTGATGAGAGACAAAGTTTGGGGGCCCCAAAATGTGCATCGGAGTACTGCTGTTGTTTAACCAGCTAAAACCTCATAGTTTGCCATTGACAGCACTCTCTGGGAAGCTTCCTGCTACTTTTTCAGCTAGATCACCCTACCTGTTAGGGCTCTGGTTTGAAAGAATAATGAGACTGTGTGGGATGAATTTCTGGTCCCAGTGACCACTTCGCCCCTCCAAACCTTGTCAAAGAAGCACGCTGGCTGGATTGTTATCAGCAATACATTGGAATAGTGTGATCCAGCCTGGCTCAGGAACCTACATTGCCACAAACTACTGATTCCATGCCAGATTTCCTTTGTAATTTTGAGGCAAGTCAGCTTCAAGGAGACCCTGCTTATCACAAGCTGGGCATTTGACAAGTGACAAGCACAGCCCTTAGTAAGTGGATATTGCATACCAGGAATTTGCTACAAGTTCTGATGAACAGCACAGCTCAGATTGAAATGTGTGAGAACATTGTCATTATCTAGGATAGGAACGTCATCATCTCTTGCCATTGAGCGATGATTCCAACAGTTGGAGGTGCAGAGCTTGAGCAGCGATGCTTACTGCTCTGCATACCAATCAAGGTAGATATCAAGCCCTTGATTATACAAGAGTGTATTCACGAACCAGGTTTCAGGGTCCCAAGCCTCAGTTTCCTCATCAGCTATTCAATGGACATCTACCATCAGCGTGGTGAGAGGTCTTTTTATAACAGTAAGATTGATCCCTTAAAAGTTATTAGATCTCAAGACATCATGTCTGAGCACAGTATAAACCGATTTCTACACATTGCCCTTATACTGCAGGGGTATGAGTCAGTGAATTAAAAGAAAACAACTAGAGGCCGTAACAGAAGACAGCCTCGAGCGCAATACGTTTTCAAATCCCTCAACTGAACCCGGATTTACACTATGCTTATCAAATCAATCTCAGCATTTCATTGTGAAGAGTGCAGTATAAAGGCATCAGTATTCGTAGGGTTCAGTTCACCAGAAATTCACTCCAGAAACAAGTCCATTTGTACGTTTACTGCTTTATCAATTGAAACGTGCAGCACAAGGATTTTCAGAATTTTAAATCTGTTGCTGTCAGTGCAGACATTTTTTTGTTTTGTTTTTGTCAGCCACCCTGCTGCTGCAAGGATTTTGGAATTAGCCCAAGACGTGCAAAGAGAACAAAATTTCCCATTATTAACGAGCTCCTTGGTCTGGCTGACGGGATGACTTTCAATAACTAAATAAATAATAATAATAGTAATTTGCTCACTCACTCCACGACTGTTTTGTGGGATGCCGCTGTGCGCAATTCGCCCACAAATATTCGGTCAATTCACTTCGCAGTCTATTCTGCGAAGCGCTTTTGAGAGGTCGAAAAGACGCGAAAAGCGCTGTATCAAACGCAAAGCATTATTATTATTGTTATTACTACTATAACCGGCTGCCGCCTTTCGCCCGCAAAACATACAGTCAACTCGCCACGCAGTACATTCTGCGAAGGCGCTTTGAGAGGCGTTTCGAAGACGTGACAAGGCGCTGTAGTAGCAAATGCCGGGATCATTATTGTTGTTGTTATTTGGAAGAAGCAGCAGCGCCTGAGCCCAAATTGGGGGGTGGGGTTGGGGGGGGGTTGGGGGAGAGGAGAGGGGAAGGGAGAAAAAAATGGGGTGGGGTGGGATTTGTAAGGATAAGTTTCTTATTCCTTGGTGTCAGATTAGATGAGACAGGGAGAGGAGACACAAACCTCAGGCCCGGGGTCGGTCTCTCTCTCTCTCTGTCTGTCTGTCTGTCTGTCTGGGAGCTGCTGCCAGCTCAAGTGTCAGTGCAACCTAACTTTGCAGCTGCCGGCGAGGCCTTGACGGACGTGCGACGCGAACCAATCACGCGTCAGCCAGCGGGTCACCTGACACCGGAGGGGGCGGGGACGGACTTGACTGACTGCGCTCGGCCCCTCCCCCCCCCTTGAGCAAGTTAGGTTGCATCACAAGGCGCCGGCGGCGGCGGCGCCGACAACACCACGACTAACCGGTTGACAAAAGCCGCGGCGTCCCGACCGAACACAAAGGCGGGCGGAGAGCGGGGAGCCAAACCGTCGGCTATCGAGCAGCTGCAGTGAAAAGGAGCCGCTTCATCGAGCCGAGCGCGGGGACGCTCGCTCCCAGGCGGCCGCCATCTTTGACGACGTTGCACTGTTGCAAAGGCCGCCGGGTATTTCCTGCCCTCGTGACCAGCGGTGACGTGGGACCCCGTCACGTGTCCGTGTGCTCGCTCTGGGCCGCCGGAGACGCGCGGAGCGACGGCGGAGGTGGTGGTGGTGTTGGGGCCTCGACGAGCGACGGCGGCTTTTCGCCCAATGGCGGCGGCCTGTGGTCAGTGTCAGGGCGTGTAGTGTAGCACACCGTGGGGAGGGGGGGGGAGTGGAGTTTCCCCCGGGATGAGGGGTGGGGAGGAAGAGAGGGAGGAGGGATGGGGGGGGGGGTAGAGTGGTGGGGGTAGAGTGGGGGGAGGATAGAGGGGGAGGGATAGAGTGGGGGGAGGGATAGAGTGGGGGGGGATAGAGTGGGGGAGGGATAGAGTAGGAGGGGAGGGATAGAGTGGGGGGGAGGGATAGAGTAGGAGGGTAGGGATAGAGTGGGGGGGATAGAGGAGGGGGAGGATAGAGGGGGGGGGATAGAGTAGGGGAGGGATAGAGGGAGGATAGTGGGGGGAGATAGAGGGGGAGGGATAGAGTGGGGGGATAGAGTGGGGGAGGGATAGAGGAGGGGGGTGGGATAAAGTGTGGGGGAAGGGATAGAGTGGGGGGGAAGGATACAGTGGGGGAGGGAGGATAGAGAGTGGGGGGGGAGAATAGAGAAGGGGGAGGGATAGAGTGGGTGGGGGGAGGATAGCGGGGTACAAGACCTAATTTGTAACTGTGCCCTGCAAAGGGTGGCACAACCCCGAGGCGGGGGAAGTCTTGGCCCCTTCACCAAAGTGGTTCAGAGGCAAACACCCCCCCCCACACACACACACACACACCTCCCCATCCCCACCCGCCACAAGGGGCCGGGTCTGTTGAGTTCCATGATAACATGCTGCTTCGTCTTTTCTGTAACGGGTTTGATACTGTCGTTGAGACGGGCGTAAATATATATCAACAAATAAATATATGTATTTTGTTTTCTTTTAAAAAAAATCAAGAGAGAGAGAGAGACTGCAATTGGGAAAGGGGTGTATTCCAGGCACAAACTATAGGTTGCAGTTGGGAATGGGTGTCTGCTCACCTCCCCCTCCCCAACTCCACCACCCGCTGCCTCCGCTCGGCCGGCTCCGGCCTCCTGTTTGTCCCTCGCCCCCTCTGCTCCACCCACCATCAGTGGCCGTGCCTTCAGCTACTCCGAAACTTTTTGGAACTCTCTCCCTGAATCCCTGCATCCTCGCCTCCTCCCTCCCCACCTTCAAATCCCGCCTAAAGACCTTTTTGATCGTGTTTACAGTCACCTCCTCCTCCCCCTGGCTCGTTGTCAGACTCCGCCACTGTGAAGTGCTCCAGGATCCGTGAGGGATGCTATGTAGATACATTCAGTGCACAATAACAACAACAAGATTTCATTTATAGAGAGCCTTTCGCGTCGGGAGGATGTCCCAGTT